ACCCCCACCCCAGGCATCCACCCCACAGCCGGAGTTTCCACCTCCGCCACCGCCACCCCTGCCAACGGCCGAACCCGTTACTCCACCACCATCGACTTTCCAACACAGCCCACCGCCACCACCCACCACACGTGGCAACACAGCGCCTGCCCCACCGCCCCCACACATCCCATCTCCCACACCACCTGTTCCCGACTCCTGGAACCCAACCGAGCAACATTGGGACTCCAACACCCTGCACGGCCACCAACTACATCGTACAATTCAACCCACCCAGTGGTCTCGAAAAGCAGGAGTGGCCGGCCTCCCCACCTTTGAGGTCTTCCCGTGGCAATTGGCTTACCACGGTACCTCCGAGTTCACCGCCCGTACCCTGAGCAACGGCAAATTCACAGGTTTCATTGCCACCAGAAGCATAGCGGAATCGGTCTTCGTGACCCATTTTCTCCAACAACTCCGCGAGAACCGCCTTGACCTTGACGGCATCGCGGAGGCTCTCCACACTCAACAGAGCACAGACATTCCCAACAAAACTACCCATGCCCGAGCGTTTCACGCTCCCCTCATCAAACTGCTTATCGACCAACTGCAAACCCACTCTCCAGCACCTGCGGAAGGCTCCGCCCTACGCGCCCTCAAAACCACCAACGACGAACTGGCTCGTGCACGTCAGAAACTCCACGACCTGGGCAACCCACTCACACCAGTCAAGAACACCAGCCGATCCTCCGCACCAGCCGCCCCTTCTCACGCACCCACGCCACCACCACCGAAACCACCAGCCATCACCGACGTCTTGCAACCACCACACCCCACGCTGCAAGACGATATCCCCGAAGGCTGGAACCACCCAGAGATCCAACAATGGGTCACTACCTTCGACCCCACCATCCAAGAAGCTGCCACGGAAGTCATCCGACTGCTGCAAACAAGCAAAGTCACCACGCAGCAGCTAAAAGAAGCAGCTACCAAGTATGGCCTACCCCTCAACCGGGTCAACCGACTCCCCATTCGCAGCCTACAACAGCTGGTGGGAGTCGGAGCAGCCATTGGCTGCTGACTCGCCATCTTGGCCCAGCAACAACCCCGCCACACCAACCTCACCCAACTCTTCCACCTGCACCGAGCACTGTCCCTGCTCATCCACCGCACCCAATACATCGACCGCGCCGAGGCCATCTTTGCAACCGGCCTCATCCACATCACCCTCCTTTTCGCATACCCGTCCAACACCCGTCGCTCACAACAATGGCGCAACCGCCAGCTCCACATTTTACCCCACACCTACCACTACCACAACTTCCTCTCTTCCAATTCCGTCTACATCAAGCTCCACTTCAATCCCGACCAGCCTCAACGCTACTACCATCAACATGGCCACTTCTACGTTGGCTCCACAGCTATCGGCATCCCCCACCGCGAACACAATCGCCGCGCCAAACTAAAACAACTCCAAAATAACATCCCCATTTCTGCAGAACTCTCCTTACGTTATTGGCATTCACACAACAACATCCACCACTACACCACTATTCAACTCACCTCCCACGACACATACGACCAAGCCTGGATCCAAGAGCACCACTACATCGCCAACTGGATGCCTTCACTCAACTGGCCTTTCATTTCCCACCACCTCAAACTCAAAGCTCAGGGATGGCAGTTCGCGAAACACAGAGCCCACTTCTACTCCAGATTAGCCACCCACAAACGACTTTTCCGACACTTCCACTAAGCATCACGCCCTCCAACTCCTTCGTAACCTCACCAAACACACCGCAGCCTCTTTTGAGGCAGCAAAACAGCTAAGAAGCGGCCGCCACACAGACCTCGAGGTGTATGCAATCCGGCGCATGGCCGCAAACTTGGAAGAACCTGGCCGCAGCCGAGCTCTTCACATCCTCAACAAAGCCTTGATCTACCGCAACCTCACGCCACCTAAACCCAACATCCCATTGACAGTGCCCTTCTTGGCCCATGACGACTTCACCAAGCACTGCCAACAATGGCTTCGTACTACCATCCAGCAGCACAAGCATTTCACCATCCCCCTCCACCTCCCCTCCCACAGACTGAGGGAAGCCGCCCACAAAACCCTCCGCTCCCACCTGCACAACCATCGCACATGGGAGGACACCCTCCACTCCCCGCCAGATCCAGCAGACCTCCCCTGTGCATGCGATCACCTTCGCACCCTCCTGCAGGATCCAGATACCCCTACCATCAACGACCACTACATCCTTACACTTGACCAACTCCAACTCCCTACACACCTCAGCATTTTCCTCAACGCCAATATGAACAGTACCTATTATCCAAGCAAAGCTCGCTACTTCCTCCTTTTCAAGACGGCCTACACCAAATGGCTCAAACTACAAGGGCTTCCACCATCCCTAGCTCAACACCTACAGCCTTTCCTTGAGCACCAATGGCGCCTTCGCAACACACATCTCAAGCAGCAACCCCGTTTTACCGCCCGCCTACTTCGTCAACTCCAAGAACATTTGGGTAAACACACATTACTCCACCATGCCGATCATGAGCTCCAACAACTGCGACTGTTTTGCCCTCGCCAATACTTCACTGGTGCCTTGAACACCTGGCAATCCCCCGAACTATTTGAACCACTTCCCTACATCACTGCCGCCAACATCCATGACCACCTGGACGCCACCGTCCCCCCCATCCTGCGCAACCGCTACAAGTGGGGCTTCCGAAAAGACTTCACCATCCCCTACGGTGTTGTCCACCTTAAAGAGTCAGCGGCAACTTGCTACGCATCACTAGCCGTGCCCTCGACATTATCCTCCAACACCTCTATCCTCGGCATCCAGGCCAAATGTCCATTCCTCAGCTTTGGCACCACTTTCACAGTTACCTCACCCAAACCCCACCCGACATCTCACTACACGCCACCAACGATGACCTGGTCGGCTTTTTCAACTCCGTTCCCCAGCAACGACTCATCGATGCGGTCCACTCCCTTGTTCTCCACTGGCAACAACAGCAATCCACACACACCTTAACGGTGGATGTCCAGGCCACCGGCAATCCCTTCCACCACTCCCACATTGGCAGACACCATCGCAAACACCCTACCCAACGCACCATCCAGACTTCCGACATCACCACCATTGTGGCTTTTGCCCTCGACACATGCATTTTCCGGGCTTGCAACAACACTTACAAACAAATCCGAGGGGCCGGGATTGGATCCCAGCTCTCTCCAGCCCTATGCAATGTCGCCATCACCCTCATTGAGCACTCCTGGCATCAGATACACAACAACCTACTTCAACACACAGACCTCCACTTTACTTACTACCGCTATGTCGACAACCGTTTCATTGTCCACAACGAACATTTCCTTCAACACCCGGCTATCCAAACCCTTATCCACCACAATTTCTTTGGCGACCCTGTGGAACTCGAACCGGTGGAGGATTTTCATCTCCTCGGTTTCAACATCGACCTCCCACAACGAACTATCACCTACATGCAACCTTCACAACCCTGGAAAATCGGGGATTCCACAACCGCCGGGAGCCAGCGCTTGGCTCTATCAGGCCTCCAATCACGACTCCACACCATTCGAAAATACACATTTCCACCCTCCAGCGCTGAAGCTGCTGCGGCTGAACTCGTGAACCTATGTGTCCAAAAAGGGGCATAACTCCCACGCCTGCCACCGGTTTTTGAAAAAAGCGCCGAATGCGGCGATCTGTGTGTGTCCAACCCTGGACAAAGGGTCCTTCACCACCACTCTTTCCACTTTACCCAGGCAGGGGGCTCACGGGTCTGTTCCTGGCGTGAGCCAACGAAGCTCCAGGTTCAGACTAGGATATCGAAAGAGGACGCTCTTTCGACGTACCTGCCACCGCAACTTTTGACCACGCTGTCTAATCTGCCTGGTTTGTTTCCATGGTTCTTCATGATACCTTCCCCCTAAACCATTTCCTCCCCAGCAGCGCTGCAGCTTGAGCCGCTTCGTCACCGCAGTCAAGGGAAACAACCTTTGTTCAAACACCTACAAGTTTTTTCGGACTTTTCACCTTGCGGTTCTTCACCTTCCTTCCCAGCGTGGTAACTGAGTTCACTGAATACAAATTATCGAAGTGTGAGTGTGAGAGTGAGAGTGAGAGTGTGAAAGTGAGAGTGAGTGTGAGTGTGTGTGAGTGTGAGAGTGAGAGTGAGAGTGTGAAAGTGAGAGTGAGAGTGAGTGTGAGCGTGAGAGTGAGAGTGTGAGTGTGAGTGTGAGAGTGTGTGTGTGAGTGAGTGAGTGAGTGAGTGTGAGTGTGAGTGTGAGTGTGAGTGTGAGTGTGAGTGAGTGTGAGTGTGAGTGTGAGTGGTGAGTGTGAGTGCGAGTGCACCGAGGTTCAGACTAGGCCATGGCGAGAGCAGGAAAAAGCGAGTTGAATCAAAGAGACGTGCCGGATTATATAGCTGCTTCAGCCTAGAAGAGGTGATCTTGTCCCTGCCTTGGAACGAAAATAGAACTGTGGAACACTGTTAATAAGCATCATTAGGCTGCCTGCCAATGCGGGCTCGAGCTGGTGGCCGGCGGCATGCCGAAGGCTGTAAATATTGCAAATGTAGGAAATGTTGAAATATATTGTATAATTGAAATATTTGATATATTGTCAATATCTGAAATGAAATAGTGTTCCAACATATGTGCAATATTTGCGATATTGGCAATTTGCGAGATTGGCAATATTGGCAATATTGATCAATATTGATAATACTGAAATTTTGGTAATGTCGGAAATATTTCAAACATATGCGCAGTATGGGAAATGTTTGATATATATATATATATTTATATGATATGTTGTCAATACATATAGGTAGATCACAGGGGTGCCTCTTGCCATGTATATCTATATATATATATATGCAAATAATGCAAAGCAGCATGGCAAACAAGCCAACCATCCTGAGCCTGAGCCATCCCTTCTGGAACCCCAACCACTGCCGCAGTGCCCTCCCGTTCCAGTGGCCCAGGCCAAGCCGAACTCCTGCGTGGCGGCAAATTCGAAGCTCACTTCCGCCATGCGCGGTGTCGCTAAGAGCCGCGGTTCCAAGGAGAAACCGTTGGAGGCCTTGGCTGAAGCTGAGGCTGAAGCTGAAACCGTTGGAATGGTGGAATGGCCAAGGAAAGCTGGAAAGGGGTCCTCACCGCCGCGTATCAAAAGATGCACCTCCAATTTCCCACCGCAGTTGTCCATAGTTCCGATGTCCGTTTGGGGCCCCAAGGAACGCCAAGTGGCTGTGGGCACGAAGATCTCCACACCGGGGCTCAAGGTTCCATTGAGGCCGCCCTCAGGGCCGGTCACGTACGCAAAGGCGTAGTAGTAGCGACCTTCGACCGGTCGACCGCCAGGTCGCTTGGTGAAGCGAAGATCTGGTCACTGCTACTTGTGAATTGACAAACTGGATCTGGTTGATGGCAGTAAGGCAAACATATCAAAAACGTCCGGACCTTTCTCCCTGAAACACGTGCTTCTTCTCCGATGCTCATCCAAGAATCGTTGCAAATCGGTCGAAGACCAGGTCTCCAGAGGTTCTTACGGGCACTCGTTGTTCGAACCCCAACCACTGGAACAGCCAGTCCACTGAATCTCGCTGGCTCCACAACAGGTCGCTCTTGAAAAAGGGATCTATTTGCAGGCTCCTGGATGGTCCTGGTGTTTGAAAAAGATACATTTAGGTGTATTCCAATTAAATGAGACCTTAGACCAGTCTACCCGTTGAGCCGTATTGAGCCAGGGTGTCTCCCTATTAAAACACATCCAATTGGCATCGGTGTTTTTATGGAGCTCCCCCCCTTCCCTCCCTCCGGAGCCTCGCAGGAGCCCACAGTCCGAAAGCTGCACGGTGACCGCCTCTTTCAGGGCCGGTTCGATCCGTGTTGAGCGACGGGGAGTTGTTGTTTTTTCGCGTCTCTGACATGTTCACGTTTCACCCCGACTCTCTTCCCGACTCTCCTTTTCAAACTCGACACTCCAAAGCCGTACACCACAAGAGAACCCACGTGCTTCAGGCCACAGGTGGGCCGCCACAGGTGGGCCACTTACGTCGGACGGCCTGGGCAGTGATGGGGACTCCTTGCTGTTGGCAGTTGGGGCCTCCCACAGCATTCCAGCCGTTCCGCACCGTCTCGCCACTCACCTGATGCAGGGGTCAAGAACGCCAACTGGCTTGGTGAACGGAGGGGAAGGATGGAGAGGACGTTCCAAAGATTTCCAAAGTGGGTGGTCTAGAAGTGGCCTTTTGGATCCTTTTGGAAAGAATCATGATCATGTTTCTAAGATCCTAGATTTGAGCCTTGATGCTGCAAGTTGACTGGCTGACAACTACACTCCATTCATGTTAAAACCCACGCGTTTTTTCACTGCCTGGGGCCGATAGCGTGTGAGCAACATATAGAGCAGCCCATCACCAGCGCCCCGCAACATCAAGGTGGCACCGTTGGGCGAGGCAGGGCCCGTCTGCCGAGGATCCTCGCGGAACCTGAGAAGGCGGAATTTATGTCAAAAGCTTTCCACGTCCCTTCACTGTTCCTACCGTACTTCACCTTGGGAAACCCCTGCAAATCACCAAAATCACCCGAACACGAGAGGGGTTTCCTGGTTTTGACTGACCCGTGGTTTCTCACCTCCATGCGTCCAGGCCACCAGTTCGAGACGGTGGGGATGTTCTCCACGATGAGCACCGGGCTCTGGTCCGAGCTCTCGGTGACCGAGACGTTGGAACTATCAAAGAAGGAGGCGATCATGGGACCTGGCGTGGCTCCCTGTCGTGGCACCACGAGGCAAAACAGACACAGCGAAAACGGTCGACGTTCTCCAAGAATCCGGAGGACTCCCGGAATGTTTGTTTCAAGATGCATCCGGAATGCTGCATGCAACCTAACCAATCCAGATTCTGTGTGCAGTGCACGGATTTGAAAGCCATCCTTTTCACCCACTCACTCCTGCAAAGGAACGAAAACACTGGCAACGTGTTCGAAATGGACATTGCCACATCCAAAAGCAACTTCAGGCGCCCATTTCTTCGAAGAGAACATCAAAAAGGCGATCCACATCTATCCGCTATCCCAAACAGCATGCCGCATGCTTCATGTCTCTCTGATGGATTCGCCTTGGACTCCAATCGGTTTGGACCCGCCTGAGAGCATCCCATCGCCCTCCACCGACGGCCAGGCTTCGATGTAGATGAACAGCCTGGGCGTCAGATCCATCGGGGCCCATGCGTTGAAGGCCCGCTTTTTGCTGCCCGAGGCAAGGATGAGACATGCAAATTGCTTTGAAGGAGGCACGAGGGTTGATTGTTGAACAAACATCCTGACATGCCGTGGATTGGTGGGAGGAGGTTCAAATCTCGATCATGTGTGTTTTAAAGAAATTCAAGATGCATCTCTTGGTCTTGCTTGTCCTTTCTGTCCTGCACAGTCAGCCAATGCATTTGCCAAGTGTCATGTAGGTCTTGCTATCCTCGAACTGGCAATTCGTGAAGTTCCACAGCTGAAGACTGGCATCCTCAGCATCCCATTGATGTCAAAAGCGGCGCAGGATGATGTTTTAGAGCGCACTTAAATGGGACGATTGGTCTGTGAGTGATTCTATGATTGTTTCCAAAGCTTCCACAGCCTCACCGCCCCTTCTTCGATTGCTGAGATAAAAAAGAAGGTTCCCCAATCTGCTTCAAGTCTCAATCGGCTCATCTTGGAAATAGCACTCTGGACCACCCAAGGCCCCTTGCAAGCTTCTGATTGACAAGGAAGTGACACCTGCAGGTGAAAAGTCAAAGTCCTTGCTTGGACTCATGTGCGTGGGACACCCTTTTCTTTCCACCCCTTTTGACCCCGCCTCTTTTCAGAAGCTTATTGTGTCCGTTCTCAAAACCTTCGTTTTTGACCGTATCCATTTCACCCCAAAATATTCAAGAGCAAGCAAAATAACTGCAAATTCTTTAGTTGGGTTTGGCTGGCTTGGTCTTGACCCTTAGAAGTCACCCAAAGCTCAAAAGTCATCAGAAACCGTCAAAAACCACGAGAAAGCCAGGAGAAGAGCCAAAGCCGACAAAACACGATAGCCACCACAAACCACCAGAGGCCATGGAAAAGAGCCGACATGGCCTGTTTCGCAGGTACGCTGAACCAGCCAAAAAGTTTTGAGTGCGGAGGAAGTCGGCTATGCTGGCACGCAGATTTCGTGGCGGGGTGGTCACCAGAACAAAACTGGGTAGGGGATCGAAAATAGTCGAATCAATAGGGTTCCCGACGGTGATTGATGCATGCCATTGAAACATGTCCAAGGCATCTAAGCATCTATAAGATTCTATAAGCATATCTAAGCAGTCTAAGCGTCAAGAGATCTTGTATCTTGATGCATGTGTTCATCATTTTTCATCTATATTCCATTGTTTTTCCATGCATTCTTCTTGTTCGTATTGGTTCCTGTTCCATCCATTTGTCCGCCTGAGCCGCCAATGGCGTCGACGGCCATCCCCCAGGCTCGGCCGGCGTCGGTGGCCTGGACGCAGCGCGGAGTGCGGGATGGTGGGAGGTGATCGGAGCAATGAAGATCATGAAGCATAAGAAACATGTTCTAGTGGTCCCCCTCCTTGTCTATCTATTTGATTCTATTTGAAGGTCTACATCAATCAGTTCGGCCCTTGATTATTGAGTCCCAATTGAGGGCGGTGTTGCATCAATTCCCGGAGAGATGCTGAGTCCTTCCGCCCACATCCTTCCACCCTTCCACGCCCGCCTGGAAGCGGACCGTCGCCCCGTCCAGGGTGGGCAACGTCACCAGCACCGGCGAGACGGCAAAGTTGTTGGATCGGATCACCTGTAGCGGTCGAACATCCGCAGCTGGGTTTGAGGTTCAGTGACCTGAACTAGGAGTCGTTTATGGGTACTGAACTGGGATAGTATATTGGGTTCTTCAACCTCTGTTGGTTTGGAATGCAGCTGTGTAGAACCAACAGCCACACACAACCGGAAGCAACAAAGCTATGCAACGCGTAGCGCAGCAGAAATCAGCGGAAGCTTTGGCACCCCCTTTCTGGTGATCTTGGGGGATCCCTGAAGGAGGAACTCAAAAGTCTCGCATTATGTATGGTCTTGAATGGATGTGTACGGCATCCATCAATGGGTATATTAGTATATTGTAATTAATGTAATTATATAATGGAGACTGCTACTACTCAATGAACGTATCACGTGATATCTCATTTGTCCCACTTCGACGTGTCACTTCGGACCAGCTATGACCTGCGATTGGCCCTGCCTTGACAAAGACCGTGCGCGACAAGGTCCCATCCGTGTTGTACCGGTGGTCCTCGACGTACACGTAGAGCGCGTAGATTTGGCCTCACTTTGCTCAGGATGAGGAGAAGTACGTGACGCATCCATCTATACACGGATGAAAAAAGACGACAACAACAGGTGGTCAAAGGCACAAAGTTCCAATGTCCTCGCATGTCCTGACTTTTTACACCTGTTCTGCAACAAGAATATCATGAACACTTTCTTGAAATGCGAGAACTTCCCAACAAGTTGCTCAGCAGTCAGTTCCCCAACACCCACCACAGGCCACTGGTGACTGTTGCCGCTTCTCTGCGCCTGGATCCAGCTGGCATCCGGTCAAAGAGTAGCTCTGCTGTGTGGCCTCGATGGTCGCCCCACTCACGCGACACGTGATCTGCCCCACGGCGCCCACGTTCGCCACCATCCGCGGCCTCCGCGGAGCGCGACGCGAAGCTGGCGAGCTATGCGTGCTGGCATGTCTGGTGACTTATGACTGTGCACGTGTTTCGAGCACTCACAACTGAAAGAAGATCAATGCCTGTTGCGAACCAGCTGGTTGATTTGATGTGAAACACCCTTCGGAATGGGACCTTGGATCCAAGCGTGTGAACGGGGGAACTGTGATCCAGTCCGTGTGCAGGTCCTCGACGAGCTCCCCCCAAAACTATGGATGTGGTTCAAAAACCTTCTGATTTCATGATATTCAAATATCATTCTGTTTCATGCAGAAAAGACACAACAACAAACTTTAATAAGTATCAGTATCAGCATGCAAATGATATTATCAATACTTAAATGTCTGAAACACCATGCTGCATGCTTCCGACATTAAACGTCCACCTGGAAGGAGGCTCCACCAAGGACGCCGAGGGTGTGACCACCACCCAGGCACGGCCCCTCTTCCTCGGTGGACGAACAAACTGTTTGCGGCAAGCCTTCAGAGGCATTCAAGATATGTCAAAGCCATGAGAGGTGTATCCTGTGAAGTCAAAGCTGGTTGTGGAGCGATTCGTACCTTTGGGCTTAATCAATGAATCCCATCAATCAAACCTCCCACATTCAAATTCCATTTCCAGGCTCTCTTCAACTGCTGAGTGATAAATTAAACATTCCGTATTTTAAAAACACATATTTATATATCTAATTTACATGCTACATTACATATACTATCATATACTTCTCAAAGGCGGTACGTCGTTGTTCAAGAACCGACCCCTCCGACCAAGACCGTCACACGTCCGAGCGTCTTGGGGGTGAAGCGGAAGTCAATCTGATCGGTGGTGGGCACTGAAAGTAAGGCTGGCTCCACGGTGAAGCCATTGGATGCCTAGGGATGGAATCGACTTCAGTTCAAACTCTGTCTCAAATTACCCATGATCCGGCTCAATCAGTTCAAAATACTTCAAACAAATTTTAGTCTTTCTATATACCTTTTCATGTGTTTGTTTTCTCAGGGCCACCTGCACACCGAGGCGCTCCCACCGTGACGTTGAGAGGCGTGGACAAGGTCCCATCGAAATGCGCTTTGTGATCCTGCCCCGCCCACCAAGTGCCCCGAGCGGACTGGGACTGGGATAAGGGGTCGGTGTGATCTGAGTCCAACCAGGGGGGAGGCAATTGATGCTTTTTTCAGATGCGAAACATTCAGGATCAAAAGTAACCAGTGACCCCTCAATTATCTCAATTCAAGTATGCTGCCCGCGTCTCCAGGAGGTTCTGCGTTTGATTCATCAAAAGAACATCCTCTCAGTTAGTGCCCTGACTCGTAAACAAAACGAGCCTCGATGTAGATGTAGACCACGTAAGAGCTCAAGTAGACCAAGGGACAGTTGGGCATCGAGATCACCTGCCGCCCACTGTCTTTTTGGAGCATCAACTGATTCAACAGAGGCAAAGAACCGCGGAATCATAGGAACAAATGATGTCCCGCAAACTCCAAGGGCAACTTGATGCACCTTCTATGGTTGACAAGTCTTTCAATCGATTGATGTTCCATGTTTTCAAGGGGTTAATCATTCAATAGCTTCTTGTTACTTGTAGCGATCGCCTCCAACCTAATAGCGATGGCCTCCAACCTAGTAGCTTCTTGTTACTAGTAGCTAAGGGACCCACGACCTGTTAACCCGCCAATACTCCCGCCAATAAAATGGGTTCTTGCCCTGATTCCCAAATGTTCTGAACACGCATAGACTGTGTGGACAGTCTGCAGATTTTCCACCAGCCTGCAGGGACGCCGGCACAGACAGGCCATTCACCAGACAATTGGTCCGGTCAAAGACGTTTACCGCATCTTTGACGTTGGGGATGGTCACCTCAGGGGCACGGCGACCGTCAAGCACCCGGATGCTGCTTGCGTCCAGGTTGGGTATCAATCATCTAGGGGTCCTGTTCGTTTATTCAGTGTTAGCTTCTTGCTCCGTTCGTAGTGATGCCAGGAGCCCCTAGTAGCGTCATTGCTCCTAGTAGTACGGCCAGGAGCCCCTAGTAGCTTCTTGCTCCTAGTAGTAAGGCACTTGTTTCTAATAGCTTCTTGTTACTACTAGTAAGGCCAGGAGCCCCTAGTAGCGAACATTGTTTCTATTCATGTTTATTCACATAGTACAATTGGACGTCTGTCTCATCCACGCCTTCGCATTTCTCGCCACTTCGATACAAATCTGACCGAACCTGGGAACTGAGTAGAGTATATACTTAGTAACAAGTGCCTTACTAGTAGTAACAAGTGCATCGCTTCTAGTAACAAGTGCGTTACTAGTAGTAACAAGAAGCTACTAGGGGCTCCTGGCCTTAATAGTAGTAACAAGGTTAGTTAACTAAAGTGGTCAAACTGAGGTACGGGCACTATATAACTTGTCAGTTCAAACCCCCAAACCACTGAAGCCCTTTGCAGCCTTTGCAAGTGCCCCACTAAAAAGCACCAAATAAAGACATTCAGCTGCTTTCAGCTCAACTGTGCGTGTTTGCCTCTACACTTGAAATGTTATCCAAGGGAAGCTTGCAAACGTCATTGCATGATCGCAATCCTGTGAGTCCTTCGCCATTCGGCGAAGGACTTAGCCACAAACCTCTTGAGTCTGCTCGCTAGCGCTAGCAGCTAGCAGCTAGGAGCTGTGTCTTCTCTCCGAAAAAGATCCAACCAAGAACACCGGCCAGACTCTTGACCTCACCCGTGGAAAAAACCGTGGCAAAACACACCCAACACGGATCCACCGGGGCACCGTGGTGGCATCCGCGGACGCCTTGGTGGCCACGTAGATCCACACTTTGCCCGAGACCTTTGCCTCAGTCGGATCTGAAGGATCCCAAGGAGGATCGGTTGCTTTCATCATTCATCCGATGGAGGATCAAAGGCAATCCCAAACGTCACAGATTCCGCCTGAAAAAAGACACCAGGCTATACCAGGCTCATGCGGCATGCGGCTTGTGATCCGAAGGTGCTCTTACCAATCGACATCCCTGAAGATGGCGGTGTTGGGCGTCCACGACGTGGTGAAGCTGATGATTCTAGTGGTTTCTTCACCTGGTGTTCTCCAGTGCAACCGCAAACCGCACCAATCACAGGAGTTGACCAAATGCACCCAACAACCCCGATGAAGCTCTTTTGCATCCATTTGAGATGCCTTCAGGCTCTGTTGACCTGCTGATGTCGCCAGCATTTCTCCTTTGCAAAGCATCTCCTCCTCCACCACCGGGTTTCTCCCCCTTTTCCGCCGCAGGCCACGCACGTGGCACCCCCCCCCATCACCTCCCCCGGCCTCGAAGGAAAGGCTGATCCCGGTGTCCCGCCCGGGGTCGCCCACCTTCGGAGGGGTGACCCACCTTCGGAGGTGGTGACCCCCCCTATAGCCGCTGAGGGGAAGGTGAATTCCCTAGGAACTGACCGTGCAACCACGGGTTGTTGGACATAGAGGCTGTGTTGGACTGGCGATCTGAGGTGAAAACGATGTTGCGTCGGCGAAAAAAGAACTGTAGAACGAAATTACACAACACATCGAAACATCCAGTTGGGATCCACTTGGGGGTTTTGGTCGTAGCTCACTTTGTAGATTTGTGGACAAACAGTTAGAAAGGTACAGGGCAAAGAAACCATAAACTTTACCTATACAGTAACATGGTTGATATTCCCCTAGCTAGTTTGTTTGGGGGCAGCATGGAGCTTCTGGTACTTCTTGCTGGAGTTGATGCGCCAGGTGCCCTCGCAGCAATCCCTGGTGCTTATTGTGCAAGTCTTCCGCACGATCGGCGCAGTACTCAGGGAGTCATATCAGCGACGATTCACTTGCAAGCCCGTGGGTCTTCGGAAGCAATGGTCCAACATCAAACTCCAGATTTCCTTCCATCCCCATGAATGACCCTGTTCCACCTATCATCAACAAAGCCACCTGTAAAGGAGAAGAATGATCTTCCCAGTGGTCACTTGTTCCAAAAAAAAGAGCGCCAAGCCGTTGGCCACAAAGTGACACCGATTCTCATCCAGCTCCAAGAACCGAGCGGCCACCGTGGGCGGGATCACGAAGCCGTTGGACACCGGAACCTCGAAATAGATCGGATCCGACCACTTCCCGTCGTTCTGAACCGCTTGGTCCTCGGTGTAGAGGATCAACACGTACCTCACAGGACGAGACATCCGTACGAGGATCCGAAGCTCGGTGCGTGGGGGGTGCGTAGGGGTTTTCAGTTGAGTGGTTTGGAGGGAAAAGGAGCTCGGTGCGTCACCTGAAATCTTCAGCATCATGATGGAGAAATGCAAATCTTCACTGATGTATATGGATGTATGGATTCCTGTGAAGCTTGAAGGAGACATGTTGTGGGTATCAACCAGTGTGTATGGTCTACGGACACGTGGTGGTGACCAAAGGACACCTTGAGGGTCGTCTGAACATCTCCTGTAACAACATCATCTCAGATCATCTTTGATAATTACCCAAAGACCTGTCGGACCTGTGGTTATGTTCATCAGTTTTCAATCTGACAAATATGCATGACCCCTGGAAGGCGATTTTCTGCACAGCTCTGCGGTCCATGTGGTCATCAATCACCAGATCTCGTCGCCCTTTCCCAGCGAGGATGTCCCTCCATCCCTTTGAACATGGATGTCTTTCACTCATGGCAGCAGAGTCGTTTTCGTGTGAGCTTCTGCAAATGAGCTGCAACTTGGGTGTGGGAAGCAAGCTGCAACTGGACAAGGTCAAGGTGTAAGTGGCCTGGGCCAACGCGGGCGATCTGCTTGGCGAACCGCAGGGCCCCATGTTCCCACTAGTGGCAATCTTTAGCTTGAGGGAGAAAAACATCAGGCTATATCGGGCTATAGTCCTCACTTAAGCCATCTCAAGCCAGTGTGACCACCCGATTGAACACTCAAAAGGCTAATTATGGCAATCGAGTTTGTGAACTTAAGGGGCCTCCATACCCCTCATGTTCCAGCAAAATCTGCTTCAAGAAAAAATAAGAAAAGCATAGAAAAGCAATGTGAGAAGAAGGCATCTGAAGACATCCTCTGTCAAACAAGCATATCGCCATGACAAGCCAGATTGCCAAAATAACATGACCACGGTCTCCCTGAGGCTATTCCCCGAACAATATTTCAGTGGGTTAAAGATGTGTATATAATGATATGTAGACCGGTCCAAAATCACTCATGAACCTCCATCCACTCATCATGATATCTCAATGACAATCACTCCCATCAACATCCATCAACACTAGGATCCCTAATTCCTATAGGTTGGTTTATGTACCAACAATTATAATTAGTCTTTATTTGGATGTGAACACTAGCAAACCACCTGGTCAACTCATATCAACTCTCTCTTGTCGGCCCCTCTCTCTTCCAAACCCTCTCCCTTTCTCCGCTCGGCGGCCGCATATATTGCTGGAGCGCCCATCTGTCGGCAGGGGAAGGGACCCCAGGCCTCACATCGTCCCGAATCCCTTCGGACTGGTGGCAGTTCTACAGTACTCCAACCGTCGAGTCAGATGCATCCACAGGAACAATCAAAGGTGAAGACCACTTCAAAAGCCGTTTTCTGAGTGGTGCCCCCGCCTCAAGAACCTCCGCTTCATCATCATGCTGCATTTTGTTGCAGAAGTCCAATCACTCAATATAAAACTATTATAGTATCAGTAGTGATCTTAACCCTAAACCCTATTGTTTCACACACCACTAAGTAGTGGTCCTTCCGCACGCCTTTTGCGGCTCCATCCACACCGCTCGCCTTGTCGGCCGACTTGATCGCCGAGATCGTGAAGTTCGTATCTGAGGGCCGCAGGGACCGCAGGGATACCATGAGAAGTGTGAGATGAGAAGTGGCTGGGCTGGTGAAGTGAAGTCAGGCCAGGCACCAAAAAATAAGAAGCGCTTTAAGCCCTTCTTCTACTATAGAACATTAATATATATATATATTTATTTATTTATGGTCATATTCATGAGCAGGTTAGGCATTTCTGCCACTTGCAGCTGGTCAATGTCCAACAAAAGATTCTCCGCTGTCCCTGTCCCACCGGACCAACCTCAATCCCTCAGCCCCTCCCGCCTGCGGCATCCTGGACCACGGCCCACACCAGGCCTTGCGGCTTTGCCGTGGAGAAGGTCACCTGGGAGGCTTAGGGAACGATTATCCAGCGTGGGAGGTGAAGAAGCAGAACATGGCCATGGGATGGGTAGTCGCAGTGGAGATCGCTCATTGCTGGGTTCTTTTATTGATTTGGGAGTCGAAAAATGTCAAAAGTGTTTGTGATCCATTTCGCCAGGCCAACACCGGCACAAAAGTCATCAATGAAAGTGCCAACCAAGCCAAGGACAAACGTGAGGCCGAACTCCCCGAAATGCATCCCCTGCATCTGAAATACATCAGTCCACTAGTGGCCGAGATGGAAGAACAGGGAAAGCACAGCTAAGGCTCTCATTCCAAGATTGCTTAGTTTGTAGGGATCCCCAAGTGATTTTCGGGAATGTCCAGCAGTTGCATTTTCTCATTAGTTATGTATCTCTTCTTTTTTTTGGTTCTCCCTCTCCACTTCAACCAAGTTGCATCCATGCCCATGCCATGTGGGCCCTGGGAGATGTAAGGATGGCCATCAGGCCAGGCCCATTCGTTGGAGTACTGCGGCGCCACCAACACGCCATTGCTCACGCGGCCGTTGTCCCTGTGGTACTGGTTCCAGAAAGGAGATCGCGTCAACTGGGCGGAGAGGCGCCGAACAACGCGCGGTCCGCGAGCCAACCGTTGCCAACCCACCGGTTGGAGATGCAGAAAAAAAGGAGTGATAGCATCATCTGGTGGTTTCAGGGTTCTCTTTTTGAAACATGTTAAAACAAATCTGATCTGGTGTGAAGCAGCAATTTGCGGGAAGTGAAGACTTCGCCCCGAGCGCCCATCTTCACCCATGGGGCATGTATAGGACATTTATATACAAACAGGTTTGTGTAAACATAGCACATTTTTGTATCTATCACTTTACAAACATTTGTGGAAGAACACTCAAAGTTTATCAAACTGCCCAAGAATGTGTTTCAAGAATCGCAGTGTGACATGGCAAGGATCTTATTGATTCTTATGTCACATACAGTGGTGGGTTTCTATGTAGTCTTGGCTTTGTGTCGTCAAGCAACGGGGTGGATTGAACATACCATCTTGACATCATGACAGTGGCACTTGGGCACAGTCTTTCCTGTCACCTTTGAAGGACAAAAACCAAACGCTGTGCGGAGCGAATCACCATGCCCCATCCACTTCCCCACTTCGGTGTCCCCCCGTTTGCTGACCTAAAACCTCACCGAGATGCGGCGTCGGGATCCGCGGCCACATCCCAGTAGTCCTAGCCGTCCGAGGGGTCCGCGGCTCGGGCGAACGTTCGAGTGGTAGTCAGAGGAACTCTTAGAGTTCAAAGGGGTAGAGTCGGGTCGACTTCTTGTCAAAAAAGAAGTGGAGTTCTTTGTGCAATCCAAATCTCTCACCTCTTACCTCTCTGTCTCGTCTTGACCTCGTTACCTCCAGGTGCCTCCCCAATGACGTAGACGAAGAGCCGGTAGCGCGTCCCAGGGACCAGGCCGCAGTTCAGGAACTCCCACGTTTCATCTGCGCGCTTCGCTCGCAGAACTCGCCGGTCCCCGGCAACCGGCCGGTTCGGAACTCGCGAGCTGAGCCGGTTTGGCGGTGAGAAGACATGACCGGTTTGGTCAGTGAGGTGGTCAGTGAGGTGGTCAGTGAGGTTCGTTTTAAGGATCTCGAGCCCTCTCGATCTTCACACCTCTGATCATCTGGGTCGGTTTGTCCTTCAGATGTGTGGAGCTCGAGCCCTCCGAAGACAAGTAAATACACTCCCTGGAACTAACATGGAAGTGGATGACATGGTCCCTTGGAAGACCATTTTCCACTACCAACAGGTGGTTTTCCACTTCCATGTTAGTTCTAGGGAGAGTATACCGTATTGCCAGTCGGGTTGTCCTGCTGGGCCTCCTGCTCCTCATAGTCACTCACAGTCATACAGTCTCACGTGTCAGACTGGGTGCTTTCCAAGTGGCAATGGCTACAGTTGGACACGAGCGACTAGCGAAATGATGGCAACTCACTTGGACCGGTTTTGACGGGTTTGGAAGGAGGTTGAAGTCATCTGCCCAATGCAATGAGCTGCCATATTGAGTCAACATGATGACTTCTTGTTTGCTAGAAAGTAGAGAGCATAGTCTTCCAACTTGGTTTTTGTATCCACCCGTGTCGGTTGTAGAATTCCGATAAGGTCGATTTGTGCACACAGATCCGACAGCTTGGTGAACTCTTCTAACTGCCAATCTTTGTGGCTCCTCTCGTTTCTCCCACTCTGCAGACAAACATCATGCAAACTATTGATTAATAAAACGCCTCATTTGAAGTGGTTTTGAAATCCAAAAGAGGGGGTGTATTAATCATAGTTGAATCAAGAGCCTACATTGCTTTGCCGACGAAAAGCCAAAAATCTGAACATGACGAATCCAATGGCTCTCATAACTGCCGTGCTTTTATGCTTAAGGGAGATGATGTTGCCCTGGAGCCCATATCATCAGTCCAAGCGGCAATGAGGGATGGTATTCTTAGGATCATCCACAACACATCCTCCACAGCTCAATCCCCAAACATGTTCCCGTCCTCCACCCGACTCGTGAGCCCAAGAGTTCGGCAAGGTCGGCCTTGGCCCGCGGTGATGGGGATGGCCTGCTGGTAGCAAAGAGCTTCAGAGCCCACCATGTCAACGAAGAACATGATGTCCTCAGCTGTGACGGAGCTGTCAAAACCATTGATAGTTCTTTCAAGTCCTTTCAAGTCACCAGTTTGGAAGTGGATCCTTGGATGGAGTTGAGTGACCTTGAATCGATCACTTACTTTGACCCACCGGACAAGTGGTGACATAGCGTTGTCCCAAGTTCATCACATGATTCTCTCTCGTATTGGTTTGGACAACATGTCGACATAGACTGGAGGGTCCAACATTGTTCAGCTGCTCCGAAAAGATCCACCTGTTCCAATGGAGAGAGATCAGCCTATTCCGCACACATCGAGCCGTTTCGTCAGCGGAACTGGGCACGCAGCGGTTGGGCACGTCCAAGCAGCATAAATCTCGATGCTCTGCACATCCGCGTGGTTGCCATTGGAGTTGTTCACCTCTGGAGTTCGCAGGGTGTCGTCACAAACTCCTTGATGCTTCAGGAACCGCTAGTCATATCACATGGCGGGTTCCCCAACATGACACATCTAGCTGAACCCAGAGTCCATCTCTCCACCAGAACCTATGGAGCACGACAATCGGTTTTGGCATCGAAGCCATGAATCCGTGAATGATCCAGATCGCAAGATCGCAAGGCTATGTCTTGGCGAAGCAGCCCAGCAAGCACCGTCCGGTATGAAGGTAATCGACCGGCGCCGGCCCAAAGCTCCAAGAAGAAATGATATAAATGCCCCACAGTTCCCCACTATAGCTTTCCCATGCTTTCCCCCTTCTAGCCCTTGAGCGCGGTGTGGGTACTGGAGGTTGATTGTGTAATTAAAACTTACATCTCCAAAACCAAGAATTCCGCAGCTCCTTCCTTACTTCTGATCCCAACTTTGCACAGTGATGGTCTTGCGCATTCCCGGGTCAAACTTTGCCCGTCCCAGTCACGGGTGTCCGGTAGCTCCAGGAGGCTTCCGCCATGAGCCCCGCCCAGGCGTAACCAGTCCTTTGAGCGCCACAGAAGGGCATGACGAGGTCGCGAAGGGCATGACGAGGTTGCGAGGGTCAGAGTCAAAGACCTTCATGTTGGTCCCTTTTCTCAGTCGTTTTGGGGGCACCTGACCTGCGGGGGGGACGGTTTCATATTCTGGCATGGTTGATCGCTTGCCGAGTCATGCTGGTGGCAGTCTAGCAAAGATTACAAACACACAATGTACCAAAAAGACGTAGTCGTGTAAGTAAATCCAGTGATAGAGAAGAAAACACTGACACAAAGCATCCAGCATGATGCCACCCCCATCTTGCTCTTCCGACCAACTATCACCACTTAGCTTGAGCCGTGTTCATAAAGCTTTGACAACATCATATCATTGATATTTGGCAAGTTCCACAGAGCTGTTCTGATGGGAAGAGCTCACCATACTCAGCTCTTCATGCTCTTCACTCCGAAAGACCTTTCCACCGAAGCACTTGGCTGGACGGAAGGTGAACTTGCAGCCGCGGATGGTCACCGGCTCCAGAAGGTAAGGCCGGAAGGAGAACTCGTTCGTGACCTCCGCGGAACCTGCAGCTCGTGAGCCCGCCCCGTGGCGGGCACCAGAGTCTTGGATCGCCCCGTGGTTCTGGAACCAGATGCGAACTGAACCGATGGAAGAACAGGGACGAACTGAGGAACCGTTCCGTGCCTCATCGGATTGCAGGGCAGGACGGATGCCGGATGACGAAGCCATGATGAAATCAACTATGCGTCATCTGTCCAAACATCGCGACCAAATAGCACCCCTGGTTCCTTTTTCCTTCCTTTATCGGGGGCACTACACCAACCTAGTAGACGAGGGGTTTGTACCTGACATGAGACACTCCACTGATCACTCCTGACGCGAGGAAAACTGTGGTTTTGTAAGATCTAGCGCTCGCAGTTGAGGAGGACGCGGAGGAGGATGAGGAATTGATAAAATCTAACCTCACCTCACCTGACAGGTGGGGACACATAAGGCCTGTATTAATGACCAACAACAAGTTTCTGGGTCTCGGACATGGCAGTTCCAATGTGTGCGTGATATGAAAAATAAATTCATGTGAGTTCCCTTCGCACGAAAACCAACACCACAAAAGTGACAAAGAACATCAAAGAACCACATCAGCCACCTGCAGCTTTGATGCCGAAGAAAGACTCTTCTGCTATCAAACCAGTCCAATCACGGTCGACCCCAAAAAATGAAAACAACCAGCCTCGTCGAAACCGACGCGAAACCGACGCGAAGCAGTCTCCAAACGTTGGACGGACGGCCCGAACGACACGACCGGCCTGGCACGATGATGCCGACGGAGGACATGATCCCATCATCCGCGTCGTTGGTGTCCTGACGAGGTGGCCAACCGACCGGTCACCGGATGGAAACGACGTAAGAGATATGGAGGTTTGGCGATCGTTTGCTCCAGACGTTGATGTTTAGAAATCATAGAGGTGGGACATGAGAAAGAAAACTCAGGGTGGATCTTTGGTCTGCTTGCATGGAAACTTGATAAACCTTTATGTGGCATGATTGAAACATATTGAAACGCTTTACAGTCTTTGTGTTTGAGTGATCCGTTTCACTCCGCTTCAGCCACCGGGCTCTCCGCATGGATTCTCCCCCCGAATCCGTCTCTGGATCTCGTAGCGGCAGTGGCATTGAATCACACTTCAAGTCAGTAAGTCCAGTCGCAGGGAATTGGGTCTTCAAATCACCATATGGATCCCGGTGAAAGCTTAAAACTTGTTGCAGAATTCCAGACATGGTTTTCTCCAGTCCAGTTGGTCTAGACCAGACATGTAGAGAGACATGTCGATCTCAAACACAACCACTACAGTAAGATCCCGACATCATCACCATGAATATTCCTGACTAAGGCGTGGCAGGTTCACCGAGGGCAAAGGCACATCATCTTTTCCATGTCTTCCACCGATCACGCAAACCGCCGCAAACGTGCTTGAACCGCACGATTTGGTTGGAGTGATGCATGGGGAGAGTGGAACCCACGTGCCAGCGGCGTGCCTCCAGATAGACATATAACCTGTAGGTCTGTGGACCTCGCTCGAAGTAGCAAAAGAGGAACTCCTGGCACCACGACATCGGATTGGCCCAGTTGGCTCTCACGCCAGATTGTTACAATGAGGGGAGCAGCAGTTTGAAACATCCTTGACACCTTTCTGTCAACTTTCTTTGGGCAATTTACATAATCTGATGTACAATTTCTTCGAGGAAAGCATCGGAAGAAAATAGAATCCAAGCAAATCCTGCCCCCATCGAAAACACTCATGGAGAGACAGGTCGGTGAGGAATGATGAGTGGTCGACGTGACCACTCAGAGATCTTACAGTATCTTTTCATATCTTCTCCCAGCTCTCTCAAGTGCTCAGGCCTCTGCTCAGCACCAACAGTGCCCATCAGCCCAACGCCGCCGCATCCCTCTCCAAAACCCTCTGCCGCGTTTTTGCGCGTCGCCTGCGGTGCCCACACGATTCGAGCCTCATCGTTGACCAAGCCTCCAGTGACGTACTTCCGTTGGCGCTTACAGTCGGCCGCAGGCTGCCCGTACTGCCTCGGCCACTCTGCCACTCGACTGGCCGACTGGAGGTAACGGAGGAGGAGAGGTGCTACGCCACGCAAGCAAAGGCCCATCGTCATTTAGTTGCTGCAAAGCAACACCAAAACTAGCACTTCTAGAAGGAAATAAATACAAGCAAGACCACCACTGCGAGGTCACTACGCACCTACGCACTCTTCACACTCGTTCTTTTGGTCATCCGGGTCAGCGCTTTCCCTTGAGGTCTGGGCATGCTCTTGAGGTTCCAGATGTTCAAGACACCTTTCGTTGCTGCAGAAAATTCTACAATTCTACACTACACCATTCGTTGAGGCTCAGACGAACCGCACAAACACACAAACAGGGAACCACATAGGAACCACCAGTCTGACTGGTTGGTAGAGGAATATCTTCAACCCTAGCATATCGTGGCTCATCGGACGTAGCAGATGAGAAGACCCCCGTGGAGATTGTTTGCCACCCAAAATCAGAACGTCACGGAACCTTGAAAACTTCCTAGCAGGTTCTTGTCCCAAGAAACGATGGTGAGCTAGAACATGAAATTTGGACAAAGCAGGACGTCTGCTGCCCAATTGTAGTAAAATGTATGTGTTCGCAGTCTTCTCCCGAAATCTGCGAAATTGTTCGCCTCAGATAATATCCAATACGCAGGCACTGATTGGGACATAAGCAATACACTGTTCTTCAAGCATGAAATAGAAGAACTGCACCCTCTCACGAACAAAACCATGACTGCAAGATACTGCAAGTCAAACGAACACCAAGAAAGGAACATCCCGTTCTCTCACGGAGTCTATATGCTGGAAGCTAAAAGAAGCAGTTGGGTTCAAAGACTATAAAAAGAATGGTCTGTGGCAATATAGTGTCCTTTCCTTTCATCACCAGGCCGGTGCCCAGGCCATCTCAAAAGAGTGATCATTGAAAAAAGCAGCTGCTGGTAATGGGACACGTAGGTAGACTCTTCATGAATCAACGCCCTGCAAACATGGATTGTAAGGCCTCTTTAGGCTTGGGGGCAGCTTACACCGAGCGAGTCAGTAAGTCAGAAAGGTTGGAACAACATGACCGTGAACTCTGGCGCAGTTGCCACATCTTCTTCCAACCGGGCTCACGCAACTCTGCAGCCAGATGATCTCCGCCCTTCCCACCTTCAGTAGCGGAATCCCCCACCACGGCCCAGAAGTTGCCGTCCTGGCAAAGGAGCCAATAATTTGGAGGAAATGCGAAGGCGATCAACAGCAGTAATGAGTTCTATCGTATCAAGCACTGCAATGTCCTTGCGAGTTGCGAGGTCATCTAGGCTGAATTTGCAAAGCCAAGTTCTTTGCCCCCACTCTGTGGAAGAAGAAGGAGACTAGCACACCTCCTACTGATACCCTTGGGCCGCAGCTGCGGTGCTCTTTCCGGCACCTCCCTTCGATCGCACCTCCAGACCGCGCCTTCTCTGGAACGAAGCTGAAGTAGAAGACGTTCGTGGTCATCGTCCCCCGAATCCGCGGCCTCGTCGAGCTGGCAGGCAAAGCACTCTCGGCTCCCGAGACGGAACACGGAACCGCCCGAACTCTCGGAGCTGGACCTTCCGGTCGGAAGCTTTCGCCCAGTGGCTCCTGTATGAAGGTGTTCGAGGAGTTGTACCAGACCAGCAAAGGGCCTGGCGTCACATGAGGCCTGGTGACGAGACCCCTGGCAAAGTGGGATGGGCTTTCAGGATGTACAATAGTTTGTGTTCGAAGGTGAAATTGTTGTTCAATGCGTAGCTTTTGTTCAATGGTCGCCTTCCTTCCAAGCTTTAAGCTTTCTAGATTTCCAGGAGAGATCTGATTAAACAGTCCATCCCGCCTAACAAACCCGGTGAGGCTAGTGGTCTCACTGTTTGCATAACATTTCCAGGCTCTGTTCTGAGTTGTTGGGACGGAAAATCCGTGTGGTTCCCACGAGCCATCACCTGGTTCTAAATAACATCAATGAGTTTGGATCCCTATGTATTTGTTCATGTCTAATTAATGACTTAGGTGAATCAAGGTCCCCACTGTTTTCAATACGATTTGAAGAGGACTTTCTTTCCTATCTCTTTGACGGCCCCCCTCATGAACCCAAACCTGCTCGCTCGCCCATTTCACCTGACATCACTCCATCTGGCTCCTCCGCGCGGAAAGGACCTTGGTTGAGGGGCCGCCGGTGCGGGGGTTTCTCCTCTCAGGACTTGGTCGCCGGATCTCCTCTCGCCAAGCATTTCTGTAGGTCTTCTCCTTGTTGAGTGGGTCCTATTTCTTGAGCTACACAGCTATTTTTTGACCAAGGGGTGCAATCAACTCTCAGGTGCAACAACAAACAACATCTGGTGCATCAGCATGGTGACAATCCCTGCAAGACCTCGTGTTCCAACCCTGACACACTGTCGGTTGGAGGATCCTTGAAAACCAATGATCCGTATCAAAGGCATGGATTGGGTCGAAAAAAAAAAAAAGAAAACGTATGTTCCTGCGCCCTGCTCACATACCAACATGATGACACACACACACACAACACCATCCCACAAAACACGGAAAAGAAAACAAACAACACATCACAACAGGCAAGCGGCCTTCAGCATAGAAGAAGGCGTAGTACTCATAGGTCGCTATCAAAAGGCAATTCTCCACCTGAAATAATTTGCAATGTCAATCGTCCAGCATTTTGGATCAGCAAAAACATACAGCTGGGATGGGTCAAAGGTGGTGAGAAGTCTTTGAGATCATTGACAACCATGATCTAAGTGGAGTGTGCTCGGAGGTTCTCTTTGTCGCAGGAGAGGTGGCTGGCAAAATTGGTTTCTTTACCCACAACAATCAAACAAATAAGTCCGTAGACGTTCAAGGACTACTTTTTGGAAATCCCAGCCATAGGTGTCCTTTTTTATTAGTATAGAGATCAGTAGAGTAGTTTGGGGCAAACCATATCAAAATAAACACTAAGGGGGGTTGCCTTCGCTCTTCTTGGAGTGACCAACTGGTTGCATGATAGGGTCTCAAGTCTTTTAAACGAATTCTGTATCTGGAGCTCCGGTGCCTGATGGAGTCGGAGTGGATGGTTTACCCAGTTCACTCACACAATAACGGCACCATTGCTACAACCGGGGGCCAATGGGCAGGCTGGGCCAGCTGTTACCACTGGTGACAGCTGGTGAATGGTCGAACCATGTCCTGACCTGGGTCACCAGGTAGCACTCTTCCGGAACACCGACCTACTGTACTGTATTACCCAACAAACTGAAAAAATGAGCTCATCTGCAGCCCAGGAGCTCGGTAGCTTTGCACCGTCTCATTCACCTGAAGAGGGCTGGAAGGACCCGGCTGTTCGACGGCCTCTCACTGGAATCGGTCTCCTACTCGTGACCTGAAAGAAAAGCTGTCGTTAGAATTTGTGGCATCCACAAAGTGGGTGGGTCCAGGTAGGTGTTTTAAATGTGACATTGTTTGAAAGGAGATGATCCGCGGCAATCGACGGTCATTCGGATCGAGAGTAGTCAAACGACGCGTATCCTTTTTGTTGCATGCCAGAGTCAATAAAGATATGTACGCACCTTGTAGAATCGTTATGTTTCAGGAAACCCTTTCGGCTTCGGCTTCCTAAAAACAGATGCCCCAACGGCGGTTCACCCTGAAGTCTCTTGGAATCTGCAGCAGATTCTTTCACGTTCGAAGCACCAAAGCCCGCAATCATATGAATCAGTCCCTTGCATTGCTTTGGCATTGAAAATTAAGTGGATGTCCATTTCCTTTTGAGTTGAATTCTTTGGTTTTGCAATGGCTGGTTGTTCATGAAACCGGGTCTCCCAGTTTGGGGTGTCAGGACCCTCACGCAAGACCCCAAAATGAACAAACATCATACGCCTCGACAATCATTCTCGTGCCTCGACATCCAAGAGCTTGCAGTTCACAGTGTTCCCACTCAGCAAGCTGCCAGTCTTCACTGCCACTTCGTCCACCTCTGCAGTGTGGTTCGCCTAGGCGTGGAGCGACCACACTGGCGACCGATGAAGTGTTTCTTCCAAAATGCTTCGAAGTCCAAAAAATGCGTTCTCCAAAGTGCTTCTCTCCAGAGATGCCTGATGCCGTGGCCAAAAACCTTCAGTCTCCTCAGTGTCTCCACAGTCCCCTTTTCATCCTCAGATCAGTTTCTCTCCATAATTCCCATAGTGGCGCTAGTTTCGTTCGACCCTGAGAGAGATCACGGATCGTCACTGTTCCCTTGCTTACACAGGAAGCAGTTTTGTTCGGGTGCAGGTGTGGAATGGTGTGGACTGAAACATCCAAACTCTGCTTTAAAAGCACAATGAGGGGCAAATGATACGTATTATCATACATATTAGAGGAACATAATACAGTACAGCATGCAAAAAAAATAAACAGCATCATTTTATACCTTAAATGCCCTTTCCTGAACTTATCTCACAATATCTCATAATGGGAGACCAACCAATGGGTCTTCCTCAGCCAATGGGTTCAATGTTTGAACATGTTGAACAGAACCTCCCAACACATCCTCAGCACTGCTCCAGTGACGTGCACAACGATGATCCAAAGGAAGCCTGGCTTCACCTCGAGCCGGCGTCCGCAGGGTGGTCAAACGAACACGGTGAAATGACACGTCTCCAAGCGTCATGCCATCGAAGTCGATGTAACCGGAGTTGTGGGACGACCTTCATTCCATTCCGGGACTAAAAGGACTGAAGTTGCGATGACCCAAAGACTGTATACAAGAGTCTCAAAAGTACCTAGTAGTGGACGTCTTTGATCAATACTCCTAGGAAGCTGTATGCAATTGAGTCCTGATGAATTGGTTTTGCCGCATCCAGGTCCATGACCTTTTAACCCCGCTACATTCGATGGCCGTCACCGGCTCTCCCATTGAAACGGCACTCCCAAACGAATCCCCTCGAATTCCTGAAGAACAGATCCTCTACTCTACCAGGCCACGAGATCTTCCTCTCAAACGTCCACCTGACATCCGGATCAATCCAGGCCATCCTCCACCGGTTTCCGTCCTCCACTGGGGGCCCCTGACCGTGGACATCTCGAACTCCGCGTAGTAGGGCCGTGACGCCAGGGCCATAGGCTCCACGACAAAGGTGTTGGAGGCAGGTACAGGAACCTCCAAAGAAAGACTGTGGGTTTGAAGTCTGATGAAGTCTGATTGCTTGTGAAGGGCCTCCGGGTCTTCCGGGTCTCGCGTCCTCATTCAATAAACACCCACATTGAAGAGAATGGGTGAGCGGGTGAGTGGGTGGGTGGGTGGACTCTCGATTTCATGCCATACCCAATATATAACCCCCCAATGATCTCAATTTATACTATCAGCTTAAGCTTCACTAGCATCGCCTTCTCTGCCCAACTCCCTGAGTGAATTGTCACACGATGCGTTGCGCCTCCACAGGTGCTGACATGGCACCCGAGCGAGTCTTCTGTAGACCTGGTGGTTTTCCGTGCCGTGAACGACTCTGCTGCTCTGCCCAATAGGTGGAGGGTTCATGGAGAATCTCTAAAGTCCATACAGATGTTTACAGCAAGTTTGAATGTTCCTCTGGAGTGCAGGATGCCTTCTATGTTTGACCAGTGCTCATCCTGCATCAAGAGGTGTAGATGGTCACCCTGGATTGTCCTTTGATCTATGTCACAACCGGGCACCTCGGTCGTTCCCGCTGTCGAGCTTTTGAATGTTGACGGTTTTGACGTCCACAACAAGGGAAGATGGTCCCCCCTGCAAGCCCCCGAAAGCTCATCTTGATCTTCACCTCCCGGCTGCCCACCTTCGATGTAGATCAGGGCCCAGTAGCTGGTGCCTCAGAAAGCCCAGGTGAGCTGGTGAGCTGGTGCGAGCTGGTGAGCTGGTGCCATTCCGCGCTCCCCGAGTTTGGCACAGCCACGGTCTCAAGAGCACGGATCATCCAAACTAAAGAACTGACACTCCTCTGACGGGTTGCATTGCCCCCCCAAGAGATCCCAACAAAAACGAACCAATTCAGCGCATGTTACCAGTGGTGAACCATGGACCGTGGGCGGTGCATATTTTTCGGAAGGGATGATTCCCAGACTTCCCCTGCAACGTTGAACTGGTTGAGGTGAAGCATTTTCTGAGTTTACCTCAGCTAGATTCATGACTCCTCAATGTCCTGACAAACAGGTTTCACGTGGCTTCTAGTTACCCATCATCCATGTTCCTTGAGTTACACTGCCGAACTTCTATTAGTAGTGGGAACATGATCATGACGATAAAACTATTAAAAACTGTGGTCAATAAACTGGAGTCCCCATCCCCTGCATCAGGGTTGTCCATCAATGCATCCAGTTCCCACATGATTTCCGTTCATTCCCATGTCTCTTCAGGGCGCTGTAGTTGAAGCCGCATCCAGTGAAGGTGATGTTCGTGAAATTCTCCGCCAGCACAGGGATTTGCGCTGGAGCGCAGGACTCGTTGCTGAAGGGATAGAACCTGCAGGAGAAGTCCCTCCCTTGTCAACCCAGCCATGGACTTGGGGGACCGATTTGGACCACTCATGGGGCAAGCTCATGGACCGCTCTGTGGCTTTTCCGAAAAACGCCGATCACACCGATGACCCCCGCCCCACAAATCACATCGAATTGGAGCCACATCTCTTGGGGTTCCCGAATTGCTCAGCTGATCGACGGATGGATGCCGGAAGTGACATCACTGCATAGGTGATGCGTCGAAAAAGAATGGAAAAGCCGACATGGCAAGCACTTCTTCTCGTTTCACAAGAACCTGCAGGGGTGAACCAAGTGCACAACCTTGGATGTGTTGCATCCAAGTCCAAGTGTGGGTGTACAATATGTATATAAATTAAAGTTATGTAAAACTATACAGCCGTGAGAAAAGTCTAGAAAACAACCGGTGCCAATTGATAGGCTCAGTAAGGACCCCAAAGAGACTTCCGGAGTGTTCACATCCCACCTATCACCTGGACATGAATTCTGATTGACACCCCTCCGCTTGGCCTGTCGAGAAAGCTTGGCGCATCCTGGTAGTACTGCAGAGCCTGAACAGCAGGGGTGAACTAGCGGAATTTTAGTATGTTTTAATATTCTTCGCGCTCAAGTCCACCAGTGGGTGCTGGCCACCAGACCGATTTTGATGAACCATCGCCAGAGTCTGAGGATAAGACGAGCAGCTTCGAAGCCCTATGACCAACACAGAAATCTGACTGCAAAGGGCAACGCAACAAAAACACCTCCCAAGCGAAAGCCCCCGAAACATTTCCGAAGTCTCCCTTCCCGCAATCTTCCACAACTCCTCATACTCCTCTCAAGCCTCCGCATAGTCCGTAAAGGTCGCGCCCCAGGCGAAGCCCTCGCGCGCGGCGACCAGGCTCAACTGGAAGGTCTCGGGCTCTGGAGGCGCCACGACCTGTGGCGAATCCTCGAAGTCGTTGCTGTCTTGCACCTCGATGTGACAAAAACGCTACTAGGGGCTCCTGGCCTTACCACTAGTAACAAGAAGCTACTAGGGGCTCCTGGCATCGCTACTAGGAGCAAGAAGCTACTAGGTTGGAGGCCAACGCGAGTAGGTTGGAAAAGTAGGTATCGCGATCTCTGATGAGGTGTGTGTGGGAGAAGTGAGTCTGGTGGGTGCTTGACTCCTAAACATTTCCTAAACCAGGTGAAGAGCTACTGTGGAATGCTATCTGCTGAGAACAATATGTGGCAGGGTGACAGTCCAGGTAGGGAAAAGGACAGGTGCTCACTGATTCATATGGGTTTTGGGCAGGCGTTGAGGTAGAAGGGGGACAATCTGTGCCTTGAAAAACATGTTGTTATTTTATTTACATGGACAACGTCGAAGACCTTCAGAGGTCATTTTGCGTGTATTATCTTTAAAGGATCTTAAAGGATACTATTGAACTCCCATGTTGATCCCCAGACCCACCCTTTGAGCGTTCAGCATGATGGACTTGTCGCGATTTCGGGGGTACGAAGATGGTTCCTTGAATCATTTGCAGTTTTTCTGATTCAAGTCACAGCAACGAAGACTTTGGATTGAATTGTGTGGAATCATAGTTTGGGATAGTTTTGGAAGGATCTTTTCAATCGGTCCGGGTCGCACCCTAAGGGCCAGGGCACGTAAAAAGTCAATGGCCCTGCCAAAATGCCATCGTTGTTTCCGTTGAAATCCTGGGAAGGGCTGCAATGGATCAAAGGAACTGTAAAACCTGTTTTGTTCACTGATTGGACATTCGAGTACTTGCACACGCGAATGAGGTGTCAAAGTCCCTTGTTTGAACTTCCATACAATTTCCATACAATAAAACAAACACATGAAACCTGCTAGAATTGCTAAATCCCGCCAAACAGCATCAATCGCCTAACGACTTGCTGTGCATGAAGGAAAACATCGGGATGTTGGACCGGTGGGAAACAATGGAAACAATCAAGGAAAAAACATTTTCACTAGAATTTCCTTGCTTAACCATGTTTAACCAAAAACTCTGGTGCAAACTGAGTCCATGACAATGAGGACATGTGCACAAAAAAATCACACACCAGAAAAGGTGTCTCCTCGATGTAAACGAAGAGGCTGTACAATCGATCCTGGCTGAGCTGACAATTCGTCATCAGAATCTCCTGGAACCGATCGATCGGTGATCTTCGAATGGACCGGACCGATCGGTCATGACCCTTCGGCAACGACGGACACCTTGGGACCTCTGGATGGGAGAATGACACGACTCAACTGTCGAGATTCTGCAAAGCCAGAACACAGAAATTGTGCATCATGGCCCAACAACTGAATAGATAGAGAGAAAAAGTGTTTGCACATCCATGGGACAGCTCGGACAGAGCTTAAGTTAACTATGCTAAGATTGTAACACACCTGAGTTGCTTGGACAAATTTTCCATGCTTGTCAGGCTGTGATCTAGGGAGCCCAGCGCTACAGCCTGGCTCCACTGGTTTGTACTTTGTGCGCTTCGCTCGCCTGCAAGCTGCCGGTAAGGGTCTCCGCGGAACGCTGGCAATCAGCCAAGCCCAAGGCACCGGTACCCAGCTTCAACGCCTCGGCACGGCCAGCCGAGGCCGGTGGATTTCCAGCTTGATCAGTTTTTGAAAAGCTTTACTCTTCCTACTGTATACAAGCAGACAAATAACTATGTATATATGTGGTTATACATTTCTATACGAGGGACCCCTTAGCATCCCTTAGCTTGGGGGTGATGGGGTAGCCCCACGCTGCCGCCTTTGCCCTGCATTTCCTCACAACCCTGATCTTTCCTTCCTCTCCTGTGATGGGTGGTGGGAGGCCCATGGAAACGATCCTATTGTGGACGAGAACCAACCGACCGTCAACTCCAATTCTTGAGATTGACAATACCAACCTGTAAGGAAACAAACCCATCGCAAAGTTGATCAAATCTAACCTTGATCAATTCCCTAATGGGGCCAAGCCACGCCGCTGAAAGCAGCTGGCACCAAGCCGGAATAAACAAACATGTGCTAAAGAAAAAGCAAAAACACCCCAAGATTAGCAAATGCCAGACCCCACATTCCTGTCCCACAGCGAGGTGGGCTCCCAGCCCCTTCCTGGTCCCCCAAATAAGTTGTCCCACCCTTGCTCTAGACTGCAAGACCAAAAAATTAAGATTTACCCATTTCTATTTTAACCACAGGCCCTATCAGGTACCCTCTACCAAATCAATGGTCGCTGTGAGAGGAGAAGCGGAAGAGGAAGATCTAGGAGGGGGTTAGAGAACCTTAGCAGTCAAGCATTGTCTGTAGCATTTGCTTGCTCCAAGGACAAGTTGTCTTCACAACAAACCGTTCATCTGCAACAACCACACAACAGGCTTCCAACCAAACGTCTCGGCGCGCACGAAGTCGAATCAAATCCTCCGTGCGAACCTCAATCTCCAATGCAACGTTCTTCAACCAAGCAACCACCTCGGTCAAGTTCTGCTCGTCCAAGCCCTCTGTGACTGCAACTTGGGGTTCTTCCAACAACTGTGTCTGGCGTTCAACCGAACTCTCAACAATCTCGAATTCAAGGCAAACAGCAAATCCGCTCGAATGCACATCTGGATGTCCTGAACAGGTTCCGTCTGCTCCAGAGGATATTCTTCCTCCTCACCTTCTGCCAACTCAAACATTTTGCCTTTCTTTCCAGTCCCCTTTTTGCCTGGGCCAGAACCTTTGCCTTTCCCCTTCTGCTTACCTTTTCCGGGGCTGGTTTTCCCTTGAAGGATTTTTGCAGTTGCCCCAAATGTGACCATTCGTGGTACATGACGAGGTTTCGTGTTTCTTTCCACACCTCTTGCGTTTCACACCTGCTACAGCCTCTACCCAACCCTCATCAAATGCCTCTTCGTCAGCCAGTTCATCTGGTTGCAGTTCTCTCAACCTTCCCCCAATGGCTCCTAACTCATTGTAAAGTCTCTGTTGTCGTTCGTATTTTAGACCTGCCTGCTTAAGTGCAGTGAGACTATCATCATGAACGTGCAACAAAACGTACTGCCGTGCATCTGAAGGAAGATTACGTACAAGTATCATAGCTTGATCACTTTCCGACAAAGCCAAATCGACACAAGAAACACTCTGAGGAAGGGTGCTGCACAGTTCGTCGTATCTAGCAGTTTCATCACTCATCTCACGATGAAGATCACTGACAATGCGTGCCGATTTCGTATCCAAACGAAATTCACGTTTCCAAAGTTCTTGCCGAAGACAGACTGCTTCTGTACGTGTTCTCAAAGCAAACTCCAAGCTCAAACCGCGCAACAGCTCAAAACCGCAGTCCCCAAACGGTTTCTGGGGTGAATGTGGACTGGCGCACCGACTTGGAAAGCTTGAATAAGGGCATCTACACGTCCATAGTTGCTGAAAGCTTGTCTCAAAATAGCAAATAAAACTAGCACTTCTAGCTTGTTGACCCTGTGTGAGCTGGGCCGAAACTTCAAGACAGGTTGCTGCGAATTCATTTGTAGACATCACCGTGAACAATAGTACAGGTTTCCAAGCGTGTAGGCGGGGTACTCGCGCAAAATGCGCATGCAGGTGACCGTGGTCCGGTGGGCCAACACACCATGAACCCCGTTTTGGACAACGTGCGCCGCTTCCGGTCAACTTCGCTTCCAAGTTCTCTAGGCTTTCAGGAAGCCTCTCACCAACACCCAAAAGCACACGCACCAGCAACAACGCGCAAAGCACATTCACCTGCTCTTGGGCGCTTTGAAACACAGTATGGTGCAACGAAGCTGCCAGGTGGCAGGTGGTGTGCGTAGGGTTAACGAAACCCACTCGAGGAAAAGGATGTCTTCCACCACCTGAACGCGGAAAAATGTGTTCGAAGAAAACGCGACAACTGTGTCATATGATTGGGGCCTCGCCGCATGGAGACGCACACAGGCAGTACCACCTCACCCTTCGATGTAGAAACGGGCTGCGAGATCGCAGTTCGCAAAAATGCCTGGTGCGCAGCCAAAACAACACAGAAATACTTGCTTGGTCCGCCGACAAGTTGGATACAAGTTGGATTTCCGGGCGCTAGCTTCATAGCATTGAGCCAACAGGGAGCTAGTCGTTGCAGCAGAAACAAACAATGTTTTCTGAAAATAGAACTGGTTAAGTTACTGAGTGCGACTGAATCTTTCTAATTCCGCCAATACATGAGGACCATCATTTTCTTCTTCTTCATATCTTCGCATGTGCAAAACTCTCTCTCCTTCACATCTGCGAGTCTTCACACATTTCTCTCTCTCCCTCTCTCTTTCTCACTTTCTCTTTCTTACCACATCCGCCTCTCTGTCTCATCACAACTCTCTCTCTCTCTCTCCCATCACATCTTCATACCTCTCTCTCTCTCTTTCTTTCTGTCTGTCTTTCTTTCCTTCTGTCTTTCTTTCTTTTTCTGTCCTTCTTTTTCCTTCCTTCCTTCCTTCTTCCTTCCTTCCTGCCTTCCCTTCCTTTCCTTTCCTTTCCTTTGCTTTCTTGCCTGTTCTTTTCTTTTCCTTCCTTCCTTTCTTCCTTTCTTTTATGTTCTTTCTTTTCTTCTCTGTTCTTATCTTTTCTTTCTTGTGTTTTCTTTCTTGTCTTTTCTTTTCTTTCTTTTTTCCTTCTTCCTCCCCCCCTGCCTTCCTTCCTTCCGTCCTTCCATTCCATTCCATTCCATTCCTTCCCTTCCCTTCCCTTCCCTTCCCTCCCCTCCCCTCCCCTCCCCTCCCCTTCCCTTCCCTTCCCTTCCCTTCCCTTCCCTTCCCTCTCTCTCTCTCTCTGTGAAATCACGTTGAACCCAGCCTCCCCTTCGCAAAAACAACCTGCGACACGTTGCGACGTAAAACGCCAGTGGGTGGAAAACACTCACAATGGAAACTGGCGAATTGAAGCTGGTATGAGACTGGCGGCAGGCGCAAGCTTCCTGTGCATCCAGTCCAGTCGGACGCAGCAGTCTGCCTGGCTCACCTGTTCATAGGCTTCTGGAGAGGGAGTCTGCATTGCTGCACACCTGTTTGCCATCATGGACAAAAAAACCTGGATCGTGGACCAAAGAAAGCCGGCCACCACCCCGTGCTTTTTCTCTTTAAGAGACTCAGTGGTGATCATGCGTTTTGCATGTCCTTGCCAGTGACTCCACCAGTAGTTAAAGGTTGTCAGGCTCTATGAGTCTATTCTTGGATTCTTTCGTTGGTTGAGTTGCTAGTCTTAAGTTCTCTGTTGGTTGAACGATTGAGACTCTGAGAGCTACACTAGTCGTAGACACGTGAACACTTCTTTTCAAGTTACTTCGTCCTGCGACGCTTGCTGGATGCCTCAGATGACTCTGCCTTGCTACTCGGCTGAGCTTTACGCAGCCCTGTGCTAGGGGTGAATGATGAAAGGACCCGGTCATTCTGCATATAGGTAAAACTGAAGTTGTTCTGGATGCTTTGGATTGCGTTAGGAGTGGGGGGAGCCTTGCACGTAGACATCAAGCTCTTCGGAGTTAGGAAAGGACTTCTGAGCAGGCCTTCTTGTAAACAGCGCCCGCAGTGTGTCTGACCTTCTTCAAGGCATACTGGATCATCTGCCCACACGTCAGCCTGAACTGAGGCCAGCCCTGTCCAAGCGTTGCAACAATCGGAGCGCTCAGAACTCAGAACATCCAGGAACTTGGTCCACCTGAGGCCAACAAACGTCAACAGCCAGCGCACAGCAGTCGAGGATCTCGGGCAATCAGAAAACACAACACAAGTCAATGACAACATGGGAAAAACTGGAAGAGTGGCGGTGATCGGGGGCCCGAAGCCATTTGAGATGAGGGGCCTCTGCTTTGTATGGTTCTTGGCACGACGCTCTGACACATCCCAATCATGGTTGAAGACATCCTCCAGCACAAGCTCTGTGATTGCAAGCCGACCAAACACCAGCCAGGAGAACAGACGCAGCTCCTCATCCGACTTGTTGCACCCGCGCTGCTGACATGGTATCTCTTCACCGTCATCTTGCAACGGCCGCCATTGACTCATCAGCTTCAGGTGCTCGGCTCTGACCTGAAAAGTGCATGTGTTATGAATTGAAAAGTGCACATGAAACCAGCACTGCCACGGCCCAAGTTGTTGTGACTGTGCGAACAGCTTCCTCGGCATTACATGTGTGAGGTAGCTAATATGTGTTACTTACTATTCTTTTCTTGTTTTTTGATGCTTTGCCGTCTTGGCGGCATGAGGACATCCTTTGTCCTCATTTGTCTCTGAGCCTCTCAAACTGGCTTGCTGTAACTCTTCTTGCACACTCCCTGCAAGTCTGTGAACTGTGTCCACCGGCTTCCCCCTTCAGTTGGGACTGGCGGAAATCCAAAATTGCCCCCAACGCAAATCACGTGTACTTTCACATTCCTTCTCCAAGAGTCCAATCGACGAATTGATGTCTTTCTGCGGAACAGTGTGTAGCAGAATTCAAAATTATACTCCCCCGGATACACATTACCAAGGCGTAAAGAGCATCCTTTCTGGTTATTGTTTCTAAATAAATGATGATTTGCACCAAATGAACCAAAAATATCGAGAAACGTGTTGAATACATTACCCCCCTCGGATATACATTCTTAAGGGGGTCCCTCGTACATATATATTATATATATATATACATATTTTGTCTCTCCCTGTCCCATTTCATATAATTACTACAAATTACAACTCAGTTTTGTCACACATGGGTAATGGGTGATAACCATTCGATGAGATTTCACAGTTCTTCTCTTTTCTGGCACATCGCAGGGCTGCCTCCACTGTCTGCAAGGCATTGCCCTCATTGAGCATACACCAGAATTGCCCGCTGAAGGAGGTTGTCATCCTGGGAGCCCCGGAGGCAAAAATCAGCTTCAGCTTGGTGTCTTTTGAAGCTTTTTGGGAGCTTGTAAGGTTTCACCTTCAAGCAAAGAAGGTATTGACTTCGTCTCAGCTTACAGTAACCTTCCATTCAACAAGCCAATGATCTGCCCTACTGAGCTTGAGACTTTGGTCCCCGGTCTGAAAGGGTTCGCAATCTGCTTCCGCTGGAAGGTGTATTATGCTGTACTGGAAACAATGGCACTGGAAGCTGAAACCCATCATCCGATTTCTTGAAAAGGTGCTGGAAGCTGAAGCCGAGGCCAGTGATCTCTGAGACAATCGAGGGATAGACCACGAAGATGTTCGAGGGCGTCACTTGAAACCTTCCCACGTGGCAGCGCGTGGCATTGTGCGGCGTATGGCACTACATCAAATCTGTGACCATCATGCTCCATGGGTTACAACAAGGAAACCAACCAAGATTGACACTGGGTTCTTCCAGCTCTTTGCCCAAAGTCAACATGAAGGGTTTTGGGTTAGAGGTGTTTTTCGATGCAGGCACGAAACATCATGCCAAAACTGAAGCAAATATCTGTGTTTGGGATTTACATGGATGAGCTGAGCTGGTGACTGATATGACTGGTGCGCTGCCAACCCCCTAATACTTTGGAGCATCCGAAACCGTTGGAGGGCACCGACCGGCATGAAGCGATGTGCCAGAAATGGACTCCCTGTCCCAACGCAGGAAATCCTACGACCCGCGAAACCAACGCTGGCTTCGGTCGTGGCCGGCCGTCGCTCCAAGCAACGTCACGGTGCCCGCGAAGCTCCCATCGTTCTCCACCGTGTCGACGCCCTGTCGGGTGTAAAACAAAACCGGCCCCGAGCCGAACGGATCGACGCCCAATCCTCTCGAAACAGAGAGAGAGAGAGAGAGAGATTCGTAGACGTGGAATCCACAGATTCCAATAGGAACGTGTTGATGACTTGATGGACATCTCATAGCATGATCATGAAGTTACAGCTGGCCGCAAGACCACAGCGGAGAACCACTTGATGGATTCTTCGATTGTACCAAACCGTAGCTTCACTGGCTCCAATCTCATTCATCCTCATGTGAATCCATATTAACCATGCAAGAACACGCAAGCGTACCAATGTCCAACCATGAAGCTTCTCCACAGCATGTTTGGTGATGAACTCTCTATTCTCTATTCGGAGTTAGCTGGTACAACCCCATGGTCATCTGGTTCACCATGAAATACACGCGCCCTTCCCTCAAAACAAAAGAACAACAAACTCCCGCCGCCACGCTTATATAACAACAAACTCCCGTCTGTTGAGCCAACAGCTCTTCTTCCGACACTCCTAACAAAAGACTCCCCTTGAAGTGTCGCCGTCCACGTTTGTCTCAAAGACTTGACCAGGGAAAACCACACAGGATGACTTGTGTGACTTGTGACACGTTCACCTGAAGAAAGTCTGGTGAAACCACGACCTCACATAAAACACTGTAGCACAATCTGAGGACAGAACTCAGCGCAACTGTCCCAGAATCCCAAGTATCAATCTCATCTGGAGCACTCTGGAATACTTGTCGATGACACTACATGAAAAAATACCGGAACACAAACAGGTTGGGTACAATTTGAAGAACATCCAGATCAACCATTGATCTATTCAATGTCCCTTTCCTACCATTTGTCGCCTCAATGTAGGCGTGGAGCGCATACTCCGGTCCACTGTTCAACTTACAGCCGGAGAGACGGAAGGATTGCCTCGGAGAGACCGAGGGGTGTGCCGAAGCTGCGACGATGCAGCTGGCCACTGCGAGCGGCTGCTTTTCCCTCGACATCACTTCTTTAGCCGGGTCAAAATGGAGTGGATCCGTTCCAGCCATGGAATCCTGGTATATTCAGAGAGTGTGTAGCTGCAGCATGCCATCTACTTTACAGTACTGTGTATGTCCAATAGCATTGTTTATATGGCGTTATAAGATATAGAACAAACATCCCTTCGGCATCCTCGGCCACCGGCCATAGTGGGGCTCTATATATAACTACACGCCATGGACCATGGGTCGATGGAAAGAACAGGTCTTGGCACATCCACCTCGCTGGTCACGTCGCGTTCGTTTGGCTTATTGAGGCCACCCACTCTCCTCCCTGAAGGCCATGACCGGGTTTCGGCGTCCACAAACACCAACCGGAACTGAAGCGAAGCATGCTAAGCTTGGCCGAGCCACAACGAGGTGTCCACATACTGCTGCAACAACTGGCAGCTGCTGCTCCCTACTGCACCGTTGCCCGCCTGCGAGGAGAAGGAAGCGCCAGTGTCTTGTGGCATCAGTGTTGGATGGGGGCTTGAAGTTTGTGACCATACATTTGGCACCTTTTGGTAGGTTCATCCAATCATGTCCTATCATATCCATTGGATTAGAAGGTTGACTATCTTTGACTCTTTCTGAGTAAATCAACCGGAGTCAACCCAAACCAATGGAAAACAGCAGGTTGGAAGGTGGACGAAACTGTTTAGGAGCCTTCCCGTGTATGTGGATGCAAGTCGCCCCAAACAATCCCCTTCGGGCAGTCAAAGTGGGTTGAATACGTCTTGGGACTGCTGTCAGGACTGGTACGGTAAATGACAAAAACATCAGATTAAGCGACCCTCCCTACAATTGATTTTTGGGGGTCCAGCTGTCTCCGCTGTCAAAAAAAGACCTTCCGTCTTCAGATATGGGATGTTTGATGTGGGACTCAACAGCCCTAAGCTGATAATTCTGCTGGTCTCCTTGGAAAGCGGTTCAAACAAATCATTGGCGCAAACAAGAGATCTCCGTGGTCCAATGGGGTGCTTTCTATCTTCCTGAGGGCACACTAGGATTCACCTTAGCCTCACTTGACACACAACCAGGATGATATCCATGGTCACCTGCTCTGGTTGAAAGGCCCTTGTGACACAGAATCAACATCATGATGTCATCAACAACCCCAGGCGGCTACCTGCATGTAAAATACTCAAGCAACGCAAAGGCTGAACCTATCGACAAAGTTCTGCCATTCGATTGAACCGATGGTGAGTTGAAATTGCTGAGTTCCAAAATCTTGAAGGTGCACAAATCATTTCCCTCTGGCTCCAGCAGGGAGCTTCAAGAAACACCTGCAAGCAACAACCAACAATATTCTATAGATAAATAATGCACTATAAGTTATAAGTATATATCTATAAAACTATCACCCAATATGTCCTTGACAGCCACTTGGCCTTGATGAGGTCGATGGTCAGGGCCACTGGGCCCACGGTGATCATGAGCCACAAATAGCCATCGGACCTCTCCACAGGTGGTTGTCACCATGGTTTCACCAGGGAAGGTCCGAAGTGGCATGGATTGACGCCACACGAGGCCCCGAACAGTTCCGAGAAAAACAAAACAAAGGATGGCTATTAAGGATATAATAGCAATGGGGGTTCCCAAGGTCGTCAGGCAGCATTCTCTGTCAAACATGCTCCTCCAACGATCCAATTCATTCAGGGTCGAAGTGAATCGACGCGGACCGTCCTCCAAGTCGTGAGTGGCCGACCGAAGCGACGCGCACTGCCCCGTCCAAGCCCAGAAGTGCCAACCTTTTCATTTATCGTAATATACACCCCACTCCTCATGCCCTACCCGGGGGCCATCTGAGGCATTTGACCACCCCCACATCCCCCACCACCGATGCCGGTCGCGCCGATCGCGCCAGCCTCGCCCGGAGCTGCACGGTGATGCCATCACCCGAGGGTGCTCCAGAGATCGTCGGATACGTCGAGAAGGCGTTGGATGCTTGGGATGCCACGGCTGAAGCCTTGAGAGCCGGACCGAGGTGGCCTGGATGGGCTGGGATACTTAGAGGAGTGGACATAGAGATCTCGTTCTGGTCGCAAGGAATTCATGTTCGGCATGAGACAGCCAAAGAGTTTGGACTTCCTTTGAACTCTGTGAGCTTGATCCGCCCGAGTTGAAAATGACATATCACTCCTACCATCTCCCACCTACCAGGCCCTACCCCGCCCCTCACGTGTGCAAACGGAGCATCCGTCTCGACGAGCCCATCCAGGTGAGCGCCAATGCCACTAATGTAGGCCAACACCGTGTAGCGGTTTCCCACCGTCAGCAGGCAGCCCGAAAAGACCCAGGCCTCACAGGCTGGAAGACCTTCGTCCACAAAGGACGGTATACCCAAACATAGACCTTGGGACCCCAGCACCTGTGTGTGCTGTGGCATCGGCCAGGCATTCGGGACCCCAAGTTCAACTCTTGGGACCCCAGGAATTTCGCTGATCTGCGACGGTCGAAATGAAGAACTCGATCCCTGGTGATGCGACGTGTTCGTTTGATGGCGGGGTTTCGCCTCTTCTCGCAAGGCGAAGAGCTGACGTGGGCCGTGCTTGCAGAAAGGTCCTCCCAAGGCGCCCGTCAAGTTGTAGACCGTCTCCTCCGCGGCCGAGCTGCTTGGTGGTTTCGCGTCAGGAAGATGAAGAACAAGACCCCCTCAACCGAATTTGTGTTGCCCCAGGCCCTGAGGGTCAAGAACCCTGCTATGAAAGGCCTTGATTCAACCCATAAGAATAATGTTTGAACCCTTTGAAACTGATGGACTTGAGACCACATGACCCTTGAGATATGTTGGGTTGTATTTTGTGTTTCTATCCCGTTCATACCACATGGTGGAAACTCGCCCTTGGTGTTGTGCCACTGTGTTTTATGAACTAAGAAATCTGGGGTGGATCCGTCAAATCAAGGATCTATGATGTGTCTATGTATCATGTAACGATCGATGTATAGTAGTAGGTGACCTTTGAACCTTTGGTTGGTCACGAGTCTATGTCTAAGTCTAAGTCTGTGACTTCTATGCGGCAAAGTCAGATCAACCTGCCAGGCCATCTACAACATGCAGCAGTTTCACCGCCTTGTTGGCCGTCCGCGCGGTCTGCTCTGGTAGGATCATGGCCCATCCCCAGCCGTTCCGCTGCGGCGTAAAGGCCAAGGTCACACCCGATTCCTCACTCCACTTGCTGCGCGAAAACGGTTTTTGGTGTTTTTCTGGATGGTTGCGGAGCAAGGGAGGGGTCTGCTTCACCGGCGTTCTTTTTTGAAGCAAAACGCACATAGCGTGTAATCAAGACATCCAGACATAAACCGACATGACGCCACCTTCGCCCTGAAGAGTTGTGGCACAGAAATGCCATCAGGTACTCCATCAGGTCAAGCATAGGAGCAAGTCTGGTTTGAAGGACAACAAGATTAAGAAAATAGTTTACTTCGAGTGATCTCCACGACCATTACATTTCAATCTGACAAGTTTTCTGGCATGTAATGAAACATGATTTCGGCCGTTCTTCTTGCATATCTTCTGACATGTTTTCTGGAGAGTCACGGGTTCCAAGGAGTCCTTCCACTATCAAAGGCATTGCCGTTTAAACATTTCAAATCACTATTTCACTAGTCGCTAGTGCTTGTGTGGTCCCACTGTTTCCACTGAGCAGGCCACAGAGAAAGAGAGAGAGAGAGAGAGGAACAGAGGGAGAGAAAAAGAGAAACAGAGAGAGAAAGAGAGACAGAGAAAGGAAGCGAGAAAGAGAGAGGAAGAACGAAAAAGATAAAAAAGACAGAGAAAAAAAAGAAGGAGAGAACAATAAAGAAATAAAGAACGAAAAAAAGACAGAACAAAGGAAGGAAAGAAAGAAAAACAGAACAACAAATAGAAGAACATAAGAAAGCGAGAAAGGAAGAAAGAACGGAAGGCAGGAAGGAAAGAAGAAAGGACGAAAGAAAACAATGAAGGACAGAAAGAAAGGAAGAACGAAAGAAAGGAACACAGAAAAACAAAAAGAAAAGAAAGGAAGAAAAGACAGAAAGAAAGAAAAACAGAAAGACAGGAAGGCAGGAAGAGGGAGAGGATTTACTGCAATCCATGCATAAACTGATGCGAGGGAGGTGGGAAAAGTGAGAATTGTTGCAGCGCGAAAGGTGAGAGTGCAAAGGTATAGATAGAGTTGGTGCCGGTCGGTGTGCAAAAAGGTGCAAGCAAGGTAGCAGTAGCATCCCAGCAAATGTACGCTGAATAAACGTATTCAGGGGGTGAAAGCAAGGAAAACTTGACAACGGACAGCGGGCGATCTTTTCGTGGGCCCGGAAGACAGTGATGCGTCGAAGGGTCCATCAATCCAGGCGGTAAACCACAGGAGGTAGCCCGAAGTCAGCAGGCACCTGTAGCGCAATGGGCACCAAGTTCTCGCAGCGATGCGCGCAAGTCATCTTTCGGGCTTGTCAGGGTGTTAACCAGCTAATCTGTCCCTCGGGCGACTTGTTGCCATGTTTGTCACAACGGACGTATTTGAAGCTGTTGCTTTTCAAAGAGGTCCTTCGCACCAAAGGTGTAGCCGCTGAGGGCCAAAGTATAGGCCCCCAAAGCCGCTGCGCTGCGAACCGATCCTTTGATTGGGCGCCCGGAGGGGTGTGGGAGTTGGACCCTGTGGTAGGGCACGTCTCCCTGCACTTCGCCAGCGTCGGGTGGTGGAGCTTTTGTTGAGAATCTCCACATGTGGCTTGGCCGTTGCCTGGAAAGGAACAATAAATTCCTTCCCCTTCCTTTCTTTTCATTGTATTTTCTTTGCTTTCCTTTCCTGTTCCTTTCCTTGTCCTTTTCCTGTCCTTTTCCCTGCTTTCCTTTCCAGTATGCTTTTTGGAAGGCCTGGAAAAACATGTTCACAAATTGCATTCCTTCCCCTTCCTTTCTTTTCCTTTTCTTTGCTTTCCCTTCCTTGTCTTTCCTTTCCTTTCCTTTCCTTAAAGATTGCTCTCCCCCTTTCCTTTCCTTCTGCTTTCCCTTTTCTCCTGTCCTGTCTTGCCGTGTCTATAGTCTAGTCTTGTCTTATCTGCTTCTCTTTTCCTTTCTTTTCTTTACCCCATTGCTAACCGAAACCTTACTGTGTAATGATTGTAATGCGATGTGCCCTGGGAACACTGCCAGCCGGAGCTCGCGGTTGAGGTCCGGCGTGGAACACTGCCATCCGACACTTGTGGTTGAGGAGGCGGAGGAGAAGGAGGAGGACAAGGAGGAGGCGGAGGAGGAGCAAGGCAAATGACATAGAATCCAACAACCCTCACCTGACAGGTGGGGAAGAAGCAGATTGTCATATTGCAAAATTCAGAACAACAAAAATCAAAAAAATAGAAATTGCAGGGTTGCAACAAGATCAAAACAACACTTCTTCTCCTATGAGCGAAAACTCCAGCAAACCAAACACATTGGACAGTGCCTCCGCCCACAAATGGTGAAGAAATGCCCCGTTCACAAGGAAAGTGGTCTAGAGATTGTGGCCCACTGAGTTGTCGGGGTCACAAACGGGTTCGTCTCCATCCGGTCTGACCGGATGAGGTGGGTTGTTTCCAACCAGTGATCGGTGATCTCAACTTTTGTGGGGGTTCATCAGTTGCCACGGCTTCACCTTGGTCTTTTTACTCTTGCAGAACAGTCATCAGCCAAGTCTAAGGTTCTACTCTATATATATATATATTAAACTTCCATGTATGATGTGGTCCTACTTTCCTGTGCTGATGCATGCCAATACCATCCAGCCAAGAAGATCAAGAAGACCAGCATACCCCAAAATTACCTCCCCCCACATCATATCGACAAATCCCTGTTCCAGGAGTCACATGTCGGGGTGGTTTGTAGTCCCATCCAGTGAGTGGATGTGACAAGGACACCCTTGATCCTCTGTTCGGAACCGGCACCCCCTGTGACTCCTTCATGCTGATTTGGACATATTTGGACCTGATCTGCTCCAGAACGACGCCACAGAGTCCCAGGAACCGTCAATGGACTATTGAGATGGGGCGAGCTGTGGAAGGTGTTCGAGAGGCCAGTGATGACCTCGGTCCAAGTCGTTGGTCAACGGTCGTCCAGCTGGGTGTCGTTTCCTTTGTGGTGCAGTGGCGGATCCCGTTCAGAGTGATGTAACCAGGGTTTGATGAAGCAAAGGGGTGGATTCTTCCCATGTGGGTTGGACAGAAAAGAGCTGGAAGCAGTTGTTGTCATCCCCAATTCCACCTGGAGCCTGCCAATGATTTGTACAAGTTTGTTACCCCGGTGAACCTCATCTGACATGTCTGTGGTAGGAGTACGCACCCTGATTGTGAGGGCAGGGCGTATGGTCCCTGAACAGGCTACGGTCAGTCAACCGGAAATCAGATCAAGTGAGGAGCACACACAAAGCCAGCGGAACAAGGGGTTTGCTGGTTTGGAGATGCCTCTACTTGAGCGTCAGTAAGTGGGTTAAGTCACCGTAACCTCATCAAAATCGAGCCACCGTCAAACGCCCAGTTCAACCGTTCAGCAACCACCTGTCATGCACAATTATCAACTGCCAGTGCCTTATCCTCAACACTGAAGACTTGACAAAACATCCCAAACCTCATAGACATCATCAAGCTAAGTCCCACCAAATCGGCTCTGGCTCACTAATGGGATCCGCCATGATCCGCCACCAAAGGTTGGTATCTAAGAGAGGAAACCCTTTGATGACATGGTTTCATGGAACTCTTTCTGACCACCTCTTCTGACCACCTCATCCAAGCGCTTGTGGCCTTGTGAACGCTTTCCAACTTGTCTAAGCCACAGTGAAGTGGACGCCCCCCGAGAGGGTACCATCCGCTAAGCCGGCGTCGAAGCTGGCCACGCTCTGCACATAGACCACCTCGAACCCCGCGGCTCAAGGCGCACATGCAGGCTTCGTGTAAGGATTTCAGAGAGCCAATTTGAGGGACAAATCTGGTGGAAATTTGTTTCCACCGGTTGATCTCTTTCGGGATCTGTAGTCGATAGTGACAGTGTCAAACAATATCAAACAATAGCATTTAGCGATCCATGTTGTCTTCAGGGTCCAAAAAGGACACATCCAATCTCATGACTTACAGTATATCAGTATCTCAGGAATTTCCGCCCGGCGTGACGAGCACCAACCAAATAAAAACATACAAAACCCAATTGGAAAACCCACCTCCAATGGCCCAAACGCCCCCGAGCACCTTCCGAGCACTGCCCAGCACCGATGAAGACCTGGTCCCCACCGAGGCGCGATGGCGTAGCGCTCCCCGTGGGACAAGAAGCAGCCCGTGGGGTCGCTGGGATCGTCGTCACTGCCCAGGCGCCACAAGTAGAGCTGGGCACGGGTGACCGCCTGAGCGGTGTGCCCCGCTGGTGCTAAAAGCCAGTGGGACCTGATGAAAAGCCCGGTTGGTGAAGGTTCAACGCGTGGGGCACCTTGGGGGGGCATGTGGCACCTTCTGAAGCAAGCTTCCGTTCGAACACTGCTGGTCGACATGTGCTCAGTGAAGGCGTTTGTTGCGGGGCCAGGTGAATCTGACCCATAATAACAAAAATTGAAATGACATTGTTCAATGGTTCTTAAGGCTTGAAAAAGAAAGTTAATTTCAGCGGTGTCTTAAATGTTCTTGAGGCTTGACAGAGAAATATTTCAATGGTTAAGGCTTGACAGAAATCATGTACACTAAATGCACTGACAGCCCAAGTGTCCAGAAGCCATTAAAAAAGCGTATATACTTCGATGGACCTATGAACTAAACCAATGCAAAACTGTCTTGCAACCTACAGTCCTACAGTTGTCGTGGACCTTTGCCAGGTTCAAACCCAGAAAGCTTGGTGTCCACATCGCAGTGAATAAAACTTGATTTTAAAAAGAGAGTAGAAACTGATTTAAGACTAAAAACCACAAGGCACAGCTGGCAATCACTGCGAAAAAAACAAATACAGTAACAACTTGTCCAGCTGTGACTCCCTCACCAACCGCCCGACAAAGGTCCCCACGTCGCCTCCTGCTGGCGAGAGCAGAGCGCCCCGCCCACCGCGTTCGTGCCAGCCTGGCGAGCGGAAAGAGCGTCGGGTTCGCACCGCGCCGCCCCGTCGGAGCCCGGAAGAGTCGGAACTCCATGGAACGCCGCTCGATGGACGCGCCAAGAGCGAGCGAAGAGCGGACACTTCGAACGCACCCAGATGACATGTGTTCTGTTCCCATCCAGATGCTTTGTCCGCCGCGCGCCAGCGCTCCACCAATCCAGGTGTTTCATCCAGTGACCCCAAACCACAGTCCAATCTTTTTGAATGGTGCACAGCAGTCTGGCTTGTCAAAAACCAATGAGTTGTTGCATCGTTTTGTAGTTTTGTCTGTTGATTCCCAGATCCCCCAAAAACGGCATCCAACCTTTCTCCACCGAACCCTGTTGCCACGCCGTTCCACGCCTTGATGGACGCTGCAGTGGCATTGGAGGCATTGGCCTCGCTCAGGACCACTGCCCAGGCCTCGTTTTGCAGAGGGACAGAGGACCCCAGCAAAGCAGGTTTATTCTTGTCCTCATCTTCCCACTCTGGAAGATGTAATCCTGTCGCCAGTTTGAGTTCTTTCAAGGTCCCACAAGCAATCTGGGTTCAGGTATGTTCAAACTCCCAGACAAACTTTGGAGAGTCCGCCATCTGCGATGAATTTCAGGTCCACCATCAGCTCTTGGATTGGGGATCATGATCGGAACCATCTATCGCGGACGACCGGTCGCACGGGCGCGAAGATCCGAACAATATAAGACATGGGAAAATCCACGATCACTTGTGCCGCTCCATCTGAAGTCATGGTCTTTTTGGAGTGAGTCCCACACCGTCGCGCACGCCGGGCCACGTATCCCTGCACCGCGGTGGGGGAGAAGCGGACAGTGACACCTTCGGGAACAGGGGTCGAAGAGATGGACGGATGCTCGAAGAAGGCACTGCTCACCTGGGCGTCGCGAAGGATGCCATCGCAGGTGGGGGCTTTTGTGGGGCTCAGCGTCGCAGGTGGTTGATTTCTGTTGTTGTGCCATGCAGAACTTTTTCAGCGTAATGGCTTCTGCCTGTGTACCAAGGCTAGAAGCTGTAAGTTACAGACTTGGAAAGGCAAAGAGGGCTTCTGGACCTGGGAATGATATGGAAGACTCCTATCTTCCTGGGCACTCTACTCTCTCCTCTTGGTTACCAGGATTTGTTGCTGAACTGCCTCCTGTCACAGTGCGACCGCCACTGAACCAAATTTGTACCAAGGCGCCCATTCCGCGCGCGGGATGGGGCTTGGTGGGTCAGGCGCATCGGGCGGCGTGGTGGCAGTATAGCCTCAGAATTGAAGGAATTAGCCGTTTGGAGTCTGGAAGAAGGTGCCCAACCAATTCAACCAGCCACTGATAAGGAGGATGAGTTGCAAATGTCTGGATCCACTCATCTTTCGGGATCCCTGACAAGCGAAGTTGTCCCATTTCCTCTTTGGTAGGTCCTGAGGACCGACAGTTGGACATGTCAAGCAAGCGTGGCGAATGGAGAATGATGAAAGATCAGGGGTTCAAGTGGCTCCAGCGCCTACTGCTGCTTCTCCGCTGAGGGGCTCAGCTTCCCTTCAAATCCAAGCTAGAGCAAGCCCTTGCACGGTGGGGACCGAGAAGATTGTCTTCCCAACCTCTACTGATGGATGTTCCATGCTTGCAGCCTGAGCAATGAATCTCCAGTGCTGGGGTGGCACCTAGAAATCCTACGGTAGTCATTCCTGCACAATGAAATACAACACATCATCATTGCATTTCAATGCCCCAAGCTCCAGCTATCAGAAAAGAAAAACTGGTAATTACTAATTGTTATTACTGTATTACTCATTATATCTAATGACTCTTTCAAGTTGACCTTTCCATGGGACGCCCAAGTCGTGCCTGTTAGCGTTTTCAATGGTTCGCCAGCCGAAGGAACTGAAGATGTTTGAGCGTGTAACGTAGCCCGCAGCGTTCTGGGAGCTGATCCTGCGACAGGGACCAACAAACCCAGAAGCCGCTTCGGTCATGGGGAAGGACGGACGGGTGGAAAAGTATGGGAAAACGGTGCAGGAGAGCCCAGCTACAGGTACACATCCTAGATCTCTGAAATCAATGTATATATGCGTTCTTTCGCAGATGGAGAAGTTGTCCCGTGATTAACCAAAGTTGAGACAGCTTAGTTGAAACCTGCACTGATGCGTCTCATGCAGTACAGCCAATCTCATATTTGGGGAGCCAACCTCCCCACCAAGATATGTGTGCTTGGCAAAAGACCCAAAGTGTTTTTGTTGAGGGTCTCACCCTCTTGAATGGTCGTTTGAGGGATGCGCCACTCTCGTTAGTCTCTGCAGTGATTGGAGGCCAGGTTTCAATGGTCATCTCAACATCTCCATCCTCATCCTGCGAGTCCTACTGACTATGAGCTACTATAGACTATAGTAGGATATTGTAGGGATGATGCAAACCCTAGCCATCTCCAGAAAAAAAAAGAAAAACGTGTCCCATCCTGAAGACATAAGCAAACTGAAGTTGGAGCTGTGTGACACGGAAGCTGGTCGCACCTCTGTCGGCGAATCGCCACGGCTCCGTGGTGAACGAACCGTGGAACCGGAGACCCAGCTCTCACGGCTAGCCGAACGACCCAGTTCGTACATCTGCAGTCCTTGCCACTAGGTGGTTTCAAGGTGCATACCCAGGTACACTGCACAGACCCTGAAAGCATCTGATAGCTGACTGTGTCTAACAGTTAGAAGCCATGCACAAATCAGAAACGCAGTCGTCCTGACACTTGACTTGGGCACATAACATGTTGCGTACTTGAGCACCGGGTCGACCTTTTAGGCCTTAGGCCACTTTCAGATAGAGCGCGAGTCCGCTTTGCAGTTCTATAATATACTGTAATCATATACCCCTTTTGGGGGGTTGAGATTCACCTTGTAAAGGCATCCTTTGCTTAAAACTCAACTCTTTGATTCCTTTTGATCAAAGCCAGTGGCTTCGGATTCCATCTGCTTCAAAGTCCTTGTGTTTTTTTTGACGTTTCCTCTGACCAAGCCGTTCGTCACCGTGACCGAGAAGCCAGTGACCGATGACGCCCCTCGATCTGTTCGAGTCGACCGAGTCACTGGTGTTCCCCAAGGACACGAAGACGCCACCCACGTCCATCTCCTCGCGCGGTCGGGAACACTCCAAGGCACCGGAGGCACCGGTGGAGTCGGTGGAGAAAAAGTGAAGAAAGCATCCAATGTCTTCCCCCGGCCAAGCCCTTTTGTCTTCACCCCCAATGTGAGGCCGGGCAATCATTGGCGCACTGGGAATTTACATCACGTGCGCACTGGACATCACTTGCGCACTGGGCATCAATCACTTGTGCACTTACCTGCTTCCTAGCTTGGGGGCGGTGGATCACCTGCCTCCATACATCTCTTTGACGCTTTAGTGGCAGCTGGGGTGGTGGGGTTGGTGGGGATTTTATGGAATGATTTCTTGGAAGCATTTCTTACATCCTGAAGTTGACTTTACATAGTTGTGGAAACACAATTTGGGTAAACTCATGCAATATGTTTCTGCGTGGGTGTGTTGTTTGTGTAGGATACGTGTGACACATCTGTGGGCGCAACTGTGTCGCCTAAATTAGCTGTTTGTTTGTTGGTTCTAGCTGAGGCACGTGATGCGTTTGAAAGAAGCTCTGCATTTCTTACCTTGATCCAGTGCACAGGCCAACAAAATTGCAAGTGCACAAGCGACGGAAATTTCAAGTGCACAAGCGATTGCTCGCCCCAATGTGACACGGACCAAAGGAACTTCTCTGAATTTCTTTTCAAACACTGCCAAGCATTTGTTCAAGGCATTTGAAAGCTCGCTTCCTTGTTCCAAGCACCATTTGGAATCTATATTATAGTCTTACGCTAGTTCACTCGTTCCACATTCATAGAACACCCATCCATCCCCACCAAAAATTGTGCCCCATGCGCGCGTTGGCCCTGCGCTCCACTTCGTAGGTGTAGCTGGAACCGTTCATGCCATCGTCGGCTGGGGCCGTCCAATACCTCGGTCACACCGACCGGTGGCACGGTCGTCTTTTCCGACCGCTACGTTCGGAGATAAAGTGCAAATGGCTACATTCATAGCTTCTTGTTACTAGTCATTGCACTTGTTAGTAATGCCCTACCACACCGACCGCTAATGGTTGTAAAATAACGACCATTGACCATCCATCAATCAATTGTAGGTTCATCCTGTCTTCTAACGGTAGTTGTTCTATGCACTGAGGGATCAATGTTTGTCGTTGAAACGTGGCTGAACGGCGAGCAAGATGCTTGCTCGGTATCAAATAGTGCGAAGAGCTACTTGAATGATCTATAATAATGGTCTTGCATGTAACAACCATCTTCTGTCAAATCAAACATCCAACCAGCTCAACCCCACCACCATGTCACCATGTTGTACTGCGCGCAAACCACGCAAAAACGATGTCCACCCACCACCACCATGTGACCCAGGGCTCAGCCAGGGCTCCCGGCAGAAGCACCTCCGTCCCTTCAGGCTCTCCGAGACGAATGTCTCGCACCGGGCCAGGCACGTCGGCCGCATACGCCGAGACGGTGCCACTGTTGGGGCCGCAACCCAAGGGGCCCTGGCGACGAGGAGAGCGGACGAAGGGATACGAGGACGCCGCGATGGCATTGAGATGGATTTCTGGAAGGGTTCCAAATGGCAGTGGCAGCTTGGAATGAGACTTCAAACGGATTTCAGCTTTAAGGACTCTAGGAGTCAGGGTAGCACACAACATCCAGTTCTCTTCAACTCACAGAGTTCGGAAGGAGAGCGGACGCCGACTTCCCTCGAAATGGGGATCCAAACAAAGCACAGTCATTGTCCCTCGCTCGAATTCAGACAGTTACCTAGAGTCTAATTAGGCAGTATACCCTATGGAGTTCTGTGAATACCCCTATATGAGTATCCAACGAATCACATCCCCAGCGAAGACATCTTGTAACATCCCCACCAAGGACAACTCCGCACCCGTGGTCATCTGTGGTCCCCTGTGGCCTCCGTCAACTCCAAAGTCTCATCTCCGTAGGCACCCAAGACCTGGGTTTCTGAATGATCAGGTGAATTTAACAAAGGACATGTGAAAATGCTGACTGGTTTGTTGCGGAGTAGGAAATGTGTCTTCTTAAAGGCATTGAAGGTTGTTTCGCGGTCACGAAACTCTTCTTATTGATCAAGCCTTGATCATTTGGTCATAACCTCAACCCGCTACGGAGATGCTTTGTTCACCACCAGTGTCAAAAGATGCAAACACCCCAGTGAGCCTAGTCAACGTCTCGAAAATATCTAAACAAGGGTGGTGAGTACAGGTGATTCCACTGAAGGGTGCGACTTCGGCGATGATTCAATGAACTCTCCAACTTTCTGGAGAAAGCACGTGTGGGTGTGGAGACATAAGAATCCAATTGATTCTTTGGGGAGGCGTGTTTTCTAGAAGTCTATCTATGGCCATTTGCTTGTGGCTGTTGTTTAAACACGGTGTCCTCTTCGAAAAAGGGCATGATCCTTTGCCAAAGTACTTGCAAACACGGTCTCCATGTTCGGTCCAAGGTGCACAGGCTTGGACCTGATAGCGGTAGAGGTTGCCTGCAAGACGGCTGGGGATTGATCCGTCGGTCTTTGGATGGCTGGTATCCGTGCAAATCCACCAAAAGAGCCTCAAACAAACAACAAGAGCTCAAACAAAGGAGAATCATCTGCTCATGTCTGGTCAATGGGTCAACTGTCTTCAAACATGGAAGAGTGGGGGTTTGGTTTGACCACAGCGCAAAATGGGTTGTCCACTGCCATGGGTCCGAGAAGAGTGTCTGCGAGGTTTCACAGGTCCGGACTAATATCGGCCGAAAACGGACTGGTCTGGAGTCGGACGGAAGAGAAACGTGGAAAAACCGGGTTTAAGATATCTCTAAACAAAACACCCTGAGGCCCTGAGACACAGCGAACTTTAGATTCCTTCGTGGGGACTACAGTGACTACAAGCAGGATTCCCACATGGTTCCAATTTAAGCCACCTCGTGCTTAGCTTGCTGTTTCCACCCAGTGTCCCCGGGCTGGCAGCTGACCTGCACTCAAGCAGGAAGGTGGGCAATTACAGGATCCATCATCCACCAAAGGAGGCGCGATGAAGCAACCCCCGTCGTCAACGTACTGCCGCCCCTGGCAGGTGGCTAAAAGATGCCAGAACATGATTTGAACCAAATCATATGAACAATTGATGATTCAAATCATTGGAATTGTGGGATGATGATGCTTCCAATGTTCATCACATGTGATGCCAGAACATGTGAACATTGGAATTGCAACCCTTACGAAGTACTTTTCTGCGCTCCAGGCACATTATGGCACATTCACAGGAAACTCTTCGTGCAAAACACCAAAGCCACCGGTTAGTTTCCTGTAGATAATGTTCGGGCAGCGAATCCCCTGTCTAACCATCGAATTTATCTGGTTAGGTTTGATATGGTAATTACGTATACTATTGGCCATATTATCATGAGATATGATGAGTATTACTAGTATTACAGTATTTCTACACCTTGGTGCCGGGTCTCATCTTCACTCAGTCGCACAAAGCCCGCACCCTGCGCTCAGTCTCAGACCGCTGGAATCTGCAAGACTGCGCTGGCGGCGTCCGCGTAGCCCACGATCTGGAAGCCTCACGAGCAGAGGGATGCTCAAGCTCCATCGGCTCGCGTTGGAGCCGAGAAATGGACACAACGATTTGGAGACACATCATTTATATAATATGTTTCCACATACACCTCTTTTCTGCACAAGAGAGCAAGTTGTTGTGAATGATGAAGGACATGGTCTCGAAGGGGTTTCGATCGAGTCTACTTAGGTTTCGATCTTTTCTCGCATGCGAGAAGCCTCGGTGTAGGGGCAGAGCGGAGATGGAAAGCAGGTCATTGCAGACTGACAGGCCATCATGTTGTGCTGGACAAGATCTTAATATCTTAATTAGGCACCAAACCCTGGAAAGGCGGCGAAGATCAGCAACACTTCGTCTATCAAGCCCGGCAATTACTGTGATGGTCACTCTCGAGGACCCTAGGAAGTTGGAGGGCGTGGTTCTTTGCAAATGAACTACGACAGTAAGTACAAGAACCATGTTTTGACTAAGGTTGTTGGTAAGAATCGGTGCTTGCTGCCCTCCGCGCCGCTCCCATCAGTTGGTCAGGCGGGTTCTGTTACACATCTGGTGAGTTAGGCGTCACACGTTGAAGGCAACACTCTGTGCAAGCTGAAACACCTTCGAAGCCAATTCCAACACAGTTTCACAATACATAGCATAGTGATGCATAGTGTATTTTCTCCGCCCTCTCTCGCTCTCTCTACATGCTCAGCTGCCTTGATCGCCGTAGTACCGCAGAATTCGATACTGGTGAATGGGCACGCAACCTGCGCATGTCTGAAGACCCTGTCTTATTGACATGACATGAACAGGAGCATGGAACCTGACAAAGCGTTCACTGAAACAGGTTGTGAGTTCCCTGCTGGTGAAAGCATTCGGTTTGTTCTGCCGATGGAGCAGGGTATTCCAAAATGCACCGACCCGGTGCCCGGAGGACCATGCCGACCGCACCAGGAAGACTCGTTGCATGGCTTAGGCTCATTGCTACAGTAGCTCGTCTACAGAAAGCTGATGAGCTCCCTCGTTGACGGAGAGCCAAAGGAAACCTCCTGCTCCAATTGCTCCACACTTTGCAAGAGCTGGTAGGTACTCTTGCTCAGCTGCAAATTCTGGATGCATTTGTTATATTTGTTAAGTATGAAGCAAATCACCCCACGCCAATCCACAACAAAGATCAACAAAGACCATTTTGTAAAGGCCAGCGCATTCATGTCTGCTCAAATGTGGCGACAAGTATGAAGGGAGTAGCGCCGAAGAGCACCCTTCACATGGAACCCTGCTATGGAAATTTGCATTTGTCAGCAATTTGCATCTGTGAGAGCTGTACATTCATTGCTGAGTGGGTTCCATTCACGTCTTATCGGACATACTTACTTCCCCCAAGAGCAACTATATACTATATACATCTATATACATTCATCATCTGATATTATTCCCACATATTCTGCCGAAATTCATTCGAGCGCGCAAAGCGGCGTGCCACCACCTGTGTCTTCGGGCTCTTCCCAGGCCAAGGAGATGCTGCTGGTCGTGGTGTTCGTCACCACCACGCTGCGAGGAACACCGGGCAACCTGCGGGTTTGGGATATAAGTATATAGCCTGTTTGGGGACACTGAACTTGCAAACCGTTCAAGGGCCTGAGGAGGTCTTGAGTGCGGTTCCACTGGAAGGTCAATTAGTGCTTCAAATGTGAATGATTCGATGCAGCGCTTCAGCATCTGGAATCCAGGCTCTAGCCGTTCTATCTGGCTGACCAACCCCACCGACCAACCTTCGCCCGACCAAGACGGTCGGGCCCTGACTAGTCTTGGTCATCCAAAGCTTCTGAACTTGCCCCGTTTGGTTTGGTGGACTTGGTGATCTCTTGCAAGGCTTACTTGTTGGCATGGGACCTTTGGGAGGGAGTAGTAAGCCTTATCAACATCTTTGGCATTGTTTGCCGTGTGTCCATAGCAGCATGCAAGTCTGCTTTCGGGTCCACACACTCTTAGCACCTTGAAAGGGGGAAATCAACTTTCATAGTCCATGTCCGAGCTCTACTCCACAAATCTTCTCTGCTATACCAGTGTTGTCCGATTTCATGAAGTCATAAACCAACTCCTATGTCCTAGTTGGGAAACAACTCTCGTTTTCTGGTTTGGTTCGACAAATAGACAAGGTTAATACAGTTAATACTTGTCCGACAAAAATTGGTCCGACTCACCAATGCATGGGTTCAACATGTTTAAACATTTGGTGTCACAACTCCCACCGGTAAATGAAGACATGTTCAATGAATCTGCAGTTCCCGAGTCTTGACTTTGCGCGAGTGTTCCTGAGAGCAGGGTTGGGCAGCCCTCCTGTGAAAAAGAACGGCTCTATTACGATAAATCAGTTTGATTAGAAGAAATTCCGAAAATGACAGTATAACCCGGGATTAAACCTAGTTGAAGGCATTTAAAAAGCTATGGACTGCCAAGTGTCCCAAAAACCGTCCCTCAGTTCCTCATCACCGAATGGTTACGTGGCGCATGCCTGGCGTTGGTGACGGCCAAGGGTGTAGACATGGGGCCTTCGCCGATCATGGTCACCAAGGACCTGAGCCGACCGAGCCGACCAGCGCGGGTCCCACGGGAACGACCGTGTTCATACCGGTCTGACCGAACGGGTCCAACGATGGCGTTTCCGTAAAAACAAGAATTATAGTCTTCCACTTTGTTCTTTTGCTCCCAAAGAAATAGTGGTCTGAAGGAATAGTCTTCAGAAATGCTCCATCGACCAAGTCCACGCATCCGGGCCTTCGAGCCCCAACTGAAGCGACACTGAGCTACTGTGCCCCGTCCCTAACCTTGGTGACCACTGCGGATTGGGACACCGTTGGCTTGGCACATCTCTTCGTTGGAAGCAGCCGTGCGCCATTGGAATGAGACACACGGGATCAAACAAGCGTGCGCCAGCGCGGTCCACCTCGTTTGCTGTGTATTTTCTCACGGAAACCGTGGGCGGATCAAGCTGCTTCACCCGCATCACCACGTCTCGACTGCCGAGCCACAATGCCACCAAGTAGTCGTTGCCGCAGGTGGCGTTCGCTACGGTGAACTCCAACTGGCACAGCCACGGTGTTCGCCACGGTGTTCCGGTGCAGGTCCGGATGGCAGGCTCTTCTCAGTGTTGGAGCCACAGGTGACAGTGCATTTTTGAGGCAAAGACAGCTTGTGTGTGTGTGTGTGCGTGTGGCAAGACTTGTGGCCAAAGCATGCTAGATGTTCTTGAACGAATGTGGGCCCAGGTGGGCCCCATGTTTGGAACCGAAGGATCCCGAATGGGAGGCCTGCATCAAGTGATATTACCTTTTCACCTCTTGCAAGCAATCAGGGATTGGTAGGGTGGCGACTCCTTTTTAGGATCTGCTGCACACTTGCCTCCCTGCAGTGTTCCAATCCCGATGATGGTGAAGCCTTCGGAATCCGAATCATTCTAATCGGGATCTGTCCCAAATCCCAACCGTTCGGTTGGCGCCAGAAGGAGAGGACATGAGGAATCTCCTGCACCGGTGTGTGCCGCGCGTTCGGACCGGGCACCACCTGCGTAGGGTTCCCATAACCATCATAGACCAAGCTGGGCTGCTCCTTCGGATCCCACCTTGGTCCAAAAGTCACACTTGATAAATGAGCGTTCAACATGGCGATCAACGATCAACGTGGAAATACGTACAAAACGGGCTTTCAGGACATGGTTCCTCTAAAAGGGGCCATTGTCCATGTCGTTACCCATGGGCAGTGTGCCATCAGCATCTGTGACTGGTTGACTCTTATGTGTATGTTGGTGTCAAAACCTGTGAGGCTCCCCCATCAGGCTTTGCTGTTCATGTGTTGCGGGGCAGTACTGGGGGCACGAGCACGTTGACCCATGGCATTTTCTGGCAGTTGGCCAGTTGGCCTCAATTGAGGGGACTCCTACAGCATCAGGGATGGATTCCCATTCATTCCCTGCTCGCCCCTCTTTTTTCCGGTGGCCTTGGCGGTCGAGATTGGGACACTGAGATGGAACATTACTGTATATATCATTCCTTTGCAAAGAATGCATTGTTCAACGATGTCGAAGCTTGTCCCAGTGCATCATTCAATCATGTGTTTGCTCGTCTCAAAGGCAGGATTGCAGGTAGGGTTAGCTGGGCTTCTGACGGCTATGAGGCTGATGAGCAACTACTTCAGCAGCCCACCCCCTGTGTGAACATGAACGACAGCCTAGGGGTAGCCGAAGACATTCGCATCAGCCCAATGCCATCAGCCAAATGCCAAGCGACATATATCCTTTAACGCCCCAATCCGTGGTCACTGCCTCCATCCTCGTCCCAGTCCCCAGCATGTCGCCGGATGGGAACCTCCGCTGCAAGTGGCACGGTAGCGTATGTGGCGTTTGTTGAGGAGCGCTTGACTTTTCTTGGAACTATCTTTGAGGTCAGCCGAAAGGCTTCATTACCCTAGTTGTTGGACAACTCCATGAAGATTGGAGGGAAAATCTTACGGTAGTAGAGTCAACAATATCATCCTCCAAACCCAGCTGTGATGCTTACATGGCATCACTGCGGACCCGCACTTTGGCTGTACCCCACAGCTTACTCTGGGAGTGAACCCTCAACTCCATTCCCTGCAGAACATCCAAAGCAATCCACCCTGCTAGGTTCGGTTCACCCCTCCAAAGCCCCCCTAATGGGTTCACGCGGATCCGCCCGCGCGGATCGAGCCAAAGGACTGCCATTGGATGGTGATGAGCCCCTCGGCAGATTCCACGCGCTGGACCAAGCGAGCGCCCTCCTGGTGACCAAAGGAGGGTGGATCGCATGGAGAGGGGCACTGTAACGCGCGAACTCGATCGCAGGGCACACCATTTCGTTTGCAGCTGGTCCTTTGGAAAGGCTGACCTGGGTCTTTTAATCTATATACTGCTGTATACACAATCTCCAGGAGCGACTTCTCTGCGTGTGATCATGTCGTTCTCAAACAAGACATTCAGCCATGTCTATCCTCCTCGGACCAACATGCAAGTGGGTCCACACTCAACCTTTAAACAATATCCCTCTCTAACAAGATTGTTCCACTGACATGCTTCCATTTAGTACCGTTCCACAAATCATGTTTACTATATAATTATATATATGTGATTTTATATCTCTATCTTCTTTGCTTCCAGCTTCCCTAATGAATCACCTTCCCAGCCTCCAAGAGCAACACCCCCCCGCCGCCCACACGCACCACAGGGCCCAGAAGAATCCATCGTCCCAAGTGGGCGCTCCGTGGGTAGCAGGCCAGCCCAGAAGTAGAAGGGCTCTGATGGGAGGCCCTGACCATTCACACTGGCGCTCAGTATCCTCCGGGCGGAGCCGCGCGAGCGCGTCGGACATCCGCACTTCGAAGAGCCCAAGGTTGGAGGATGTGGGAGGATTCGCAGGGCCATGCAGCGCCTGATCCATCACAGATGGCTCTATGACTCGGCAGCCGAGACACATTGTGCTGACAAACACATGTTGCGCTTTTGGGATTGACCGCCACATGGATGAGGTCGACCAACTTCGATTAGGACTAGGAGGCGGTGGGGGGACTCTAGTGGTGCTCGGTGCTCTGCGCTGCCCCCCATCTCAGGAAATTTGCAAATGCCATTCCGGATAATGCCGCTGAATTTATAAGGCTGATGAGCCAGTTCTCCCGAACAGTGTACCAAGTTTTGCCCACGCCCACCGGCAGTCAAATAGTAGTCGTCATGACTTCTGGACTGTTACTTGGGAGATGACCCTCATACTTTGTGAATACCAAACACATCTAAACACTAAACAGACTGGCGAGGCTGAAGGATTTTGCTGGGCGGGCCATGTCGGCCTCCAGTAGTTCACCCGAGAATCTCCTCTGGCGATGAACGGCCGTTTTGAATGCATAAAGATACTAAGGACTTGATGCTTTGGTTCTCCATCTCAAATTTCTTGGTGTGTCTACTCTGTCGTTCAGTTGGCCGACATCAGTCCAACTCTCCTGGTGGCATACTTGAAGTCCGGCTCCAGCTGTGTGATCAGCAAACCTCGGTTGGGTTCAGAGTTCCCGCGGTCGTTTCCCGAAACCGAAATTCTACCTACCGCTCCTGTTCTCGGGTTCCAAATTCGAGTGACGCTGAATCCACTTGCTTTTGGGATCCATTGGTGCAGAATTCTTTCCCAAAAGAAGTGTTTGAATCCCAACTCGCCAGTCGTCCTTCTTGAGGGCAAGTCCACGTTTGTCTTACTTGGCTCAAGGAACCCGGGGAATGCTGTTCTGAACGTCAAAAGTATGCGAAATGACAGGGTCATCATCAAGTCACTCAAGTCGATAGAATCCGGCACGCTTCAAGGGTCGACAAGCTAAAGCTCGTCATACATCTGTAATTAAAAATAGGACAACATAGGTTAATTGATATTATAATTATGGTTACGGTTAATTTAATAACCACCATGATCTATTATTTGTAATATCATTGCATTGTTCCAGATTGTAAGTATATATACAGGAGAACTACAACCCTTCAGGGAAAACATTGGAAAAACCTCCTCATAGTCACCATGTTCATCAGAGATGGTTCCGCATGTGTCATCCCGAACACCAACGTGCCGCAAAGGGTTAGGGAGATGATCAAGGTCTCCCGGTACAGGTGGAGACTCCAACCAGCTTACTAACAGTTTGTACGGGCGATTTCTGCAGGGCTTTTCCGGCACAAAGACACACACAAACATGTTAGAATTTGTTCAATGTTTTGCGTCACCACTCAACACCTGTCTGATGAACATTACTCGACCAGATCGGTGCATCATGTAACTAAACAAATCCCAATCGCAGGAAACGGAGTAGAGTCTAAACCTGTGGACTGTTTGAACAAATCTGTCGATCCACGACACGCTGGCCCAAGCCACCACGACACCGTTGGATCCAAAACGGTTCCCACCGGTTTGTCCCCCACGGAACCGGTGCCTTGATGACTCGATCTGTTCCTTCGGTTTCTCCCCCCGACTGTACTCCGTTGCGGAGAAGGGGGGCTGTACTCCGTGTTGTCCGCGGGCGAGTTCGGCACGTCGAACCTGAGCCGGGCACGTGGAGGTGCCGAGGGAGGTGGTCTTCACGCAGCCGATGGAGGTGCCACAACAATGACGTTTCGGTCACCCAGAGCACCCTTGTCTGCCGGTTCTGAAGCTTCATTTTCCACCATCCTCCACATAAATCTCCATGGAGCGAAAACAAGTGCTAGGCTGCTAGTGGAGAGGTGTCCTTGTGCAAAAGTCGCAGTTGATCGGTCCTTCAAGGCTGACCTTCACTGCAGCCGCTGCAACGTCACTAAGTGACGTTCAGTTGCACCCAAAATTACGAGTTGCTAACCCCAATTGCAAAGCCATGCTCCTTTTCCGTCCTTCTTCCCTGGTGCAAACGGACCCTGCGTGTTTGCCATCGGCGAAAGGCATCACGGCCGACCCCGCTGGTCTTTGGGCTCGCCGCTCCAAATCCACGGACGAGCGAGAACATCGTCTGTCGGTTCAGATGGTTTGGGGGGCGTAATTGCACACACCCAGAGTGGATCAGAGTGGTGTGGATGGTTTTTGGGGATTCAGATGGTTTTGGAATGTTTTGGATAACTCAGGGTGGGAGGTTGAATTCACATTCAACTGTTTGCTCGAGTCTGCCCAAAAACCTGCCTCCTCTTCCACGATATAGATCATTAGGGAGCATTTCATGGTTATGAAACACCCAGATGTCTCCCGACCTTCAAACAACTGGCACTTGACATGCTTCAAAGCAAGTTGCCACGCATCGAACGTGGGCTCCATCGCGATCTGCACGATGTACCTGGTGATCCTGGGCGACCACCGGTGAGGGTCCCGCCGCAACGGTGGACAAGGACCGAAGAGTTCCGTGGCCATCTACCCGTTCTGGCCTCTGCTACATTGCTACATGATCAAATGCATCAACATGCTGTCCAACTGCCTGGAACATCACAAGGTCGCCATTCTTCAAGCGGAGTAAACCCATGAAGGCCGGTGCCTTTTAGTGACTCCAGGTCATACAAACAGATCTCAAAGAGACTACCTTCCACGAGTAGAGACGTACTGAATTGAATCTCAAGTGAATCCCCATTCTATTCGATCAACATGATTCTCCGTGAATCTCATGGTTGTGAATTCACTGGGAGTTCAAGTCGACTTTCAATTCAACCCTACCATGATATATCCTATTCCCTGTAACAAATGACGATGATGATGATGATGATGATGATGATGATGATGACGATGACGATGACGATGACGATGACGATGATGATGGTTAGTAAAGGCTTGTTACCAGTAATGGGACACACCCAACTCCTACCATAGCTACGGGACTTCCCCAATCCCAACCCGTCAGATACGGTCGCTTCGTTTTCACCCGGAGCGTCGCCAGCTCGTCGGCCGTTGCGGCGCCGATCTGCCAGCGGAGCATGGCCGACTTCAGGGAAACAGCGGTGACCGATAGGATCTCCTGACGCCAAAGCAATGCAAACAAAAAAGGTCCAATCTCCGCGAGTCGTGACTTGGTGTTAGTTAAGACTTGGTGTTGATCAAAGACTTCCAAAGGGGTGAGAGAGTTTCTACTATAGTCAAGACACATTGTTATGGGGTTGGAAAGTTTGTCCAGGATCTGTGTGACCCGTTCCTTAAAAGTCATTGACTTGTTGCTGACGGTGGGGTGGATTTGGCTCCGGCTCCCCTTTTGGCTCCTCATGCACATGCAGTTCGACTGTGCACATTGCTTCCCGTTGCAGGAGTTTGCTCAAGGAATGCAGAGAGGGACTGGGTCTGGAGGAAAACATGGCTCAAAAACCGTGAGATGCCCCGAGCAGCCACTTCCTGACTTCCTACATCAACCCCTGCCCCATAACCCACCGTGTCATTCTTGCAGAACCAGGCGCTGGGGGTGGGAGGGGCATGGCCATCTTGAAATACAGCATGTTGCTCGCATCGCCTGAGGCCCAATCACATTCGAGGCGAGTGACTGGTCATGCAGGGCGCGTGTTGTGGGTGTCATCATCTATTTCGGCAATAAAACCCAAGGGCGGCTGCCTTTGGGAAGATCAATCTAGGATTTGTGCCTCGCATACTGAAACATTGCCATCTTGATCTCACAAACCATCTCCGGCCATCCCTGCGGCCACTTAAGGCTGACACGGAAGTTCAAAACGGGTTGGAGGTTCCCTCCTGCCTTCGATCAATAGAAAAGTGTGATGAGGATCCCAAAAGTCTTGCTTGCATCGCATTGACCTCTTTTCGGAAACACCGTGCGGTGCGGGTCAGAAGCCTTTGGGCACATTTGCCGCTTCTTTCCCATCCCAACGACTTCCTCCACATCCTCGAATCGTCCTCTACTATCAACTGCGTTCAGTGCATCAAATGCATTCCCACAGAGCAGAAATTGCCAGCTTCAACCGACCCACAAAAGCCACCTGGCAATCCCTTTCAGCTCCATTGGCCCGGCATCGCTTTTGGCCGCCCAGGGGCCGTTCCCGGCCAGGCTCACGGCCCGCACGAAGGCGCGGTAGTCGCGGTTCGGCGTTAAGGTGATCGTCGCCGTGTTGGTCCAACGACTGGTGAAGCCCCCGTGAATCGTTGGTCGGTTTCGCCGTGGGTGTGGCGTGAAAGGTGAATCCGATTTCGGGGACATGTTGGGGAGCTGATGAACTTCAAACAATGAAAAATGATCGATAAAAGAACATGAAAGAAAAGAAGGAAAGAAAGATAAGAAGCGAACGATTAAATGAAAAAAGGGATGGTAAGGCGGCCGCTTCCGTTTGTCATCTCACTTTGTGTTTGTATGATTTCTGATTACTTCATATGGTTTCAAAATGTCCTCACCCATTTGGATCTGGAGCCAGCCGTTTCAAGCTGTTCAATCATCAGCAGTGGTCATGGGGTTCATGTTGGCCCGTTTCTTCTCTGTCCGAGGTCCACTAACACTACAGATTTGTGCTCCATCAAGGCCAGCCCCTTCCTCTCTCCTCCCCAGCGCGTCACACCTCGATTTTCCATCGAAGGCCAGTTGGAAGGGCCCGCCTAGGCCATCATCCACGAACCTGATTGTGACAGGGAACTGCCGAGCTTCGCGGTGCCACTTGAGTGGGGGCATGAGGCAGAATCGGAATCCACTAAAGCACACAATGTTTTTGCTTCACGTGTCAATTTGCGTGATAAGTTCCTGCAAAAGTAGCCCAGAGTACTGTGCAACAGAATTTGCCTTCCCAAACAACTCACCACCCAGATGCAACACACTCTCCACACTGTCAATCCACCAGTCCTTCTTCCCCGCACAGTGCGGATGGCCACCCGCATGTGGACCATCTACCGAGGAACAGCTCGTAGCCCAAGAGCATGCGAGGATCATAGGATCCAATCAGCTGCTGTGAGAGGGTCAAATATTCGCCACCACCCACTTGTCCAATGACTTCCTGCACGTGCAATGACATGGGACCATGAACTTCGGCGACCCGTTCCAAAACGTGGATGCCGTGGAGGCGACCCGGCGACCCTTCTCCGTGCCGAAAAGAAGATCTTCGGCGAAATGCCCAGCTGGTCGTTCCAGAATCGGTGGACCTTATGAAGCTCCCTGCCTGCATACACTCTGACAAAACACATCGGAGGCGGATGGCTGTTAGCGCCGAAAGGAAGACGTTTTTCTTCTACAAGCAGGGACATGTTCCACTTCCATGATAGTGAGTCAGAGTGTACTCCAACTTGAAATCCCCAACACACTGTGTAGAGTGGTGCTTTTGGAGGCCCAGCGACGTGATGGTTGACCCGGTTGACCCCTGTTGGACAATCTGGTAAGAAGCAAGAACTTCCATGCCACTATTTCTCGACCATTATACATTCTGGCCGCCAAGGCTCTCTGCCCCTGGTGAATGTCAAACAAAAAAAACAGTCGACCTCTCAGGATGTTCACGGCATTTCATGTCTTGGGTTGTTTGGTTTGATTCATCTCCCACACCATGTTGCGTGAAACCCTTGTCCCCCCTCGTCCCGAGACCGTTCACCTGGACGCGCGAGAAGTTCGATGCCACATCCACGAAAGGCACCTCCTGCCACCGAGCGAAGAATGGCCGACTGCACGTCTCAGGAAGATCAATCAAGGCTCAGCAATGGGCGTTGAGATGGTGGCGTCTGGATGGTTCTACACTGGCTGCAATGAATGGAGGCAACACAAACTGAGCATCCTTGCATCAAATCCCCTGTGCCCTTGGTTGCAACCATGAGACCAGGAGATTTGCAAAGAATTTCACCATCTTGATATGATGTTTAGGTTTAGATCCCCACTGAAGCTCTTCTGGGAACACACATCCAAAATGTATCCCGAGAAAGGCAACCAGGATTCATAAGCAAACCTATCCGACCTATCCCCGCCTGTGATGTTCAAAGTGAAGCATTCACTTTAAGCACCTGTGTCTCTTATCAATCACATCAACACGCCTACTCCACTTGCCACCCCGCTCTGCCCACATCCACCTGCAGCAGGATCCAGTCGAAGCGCGCAGAAGTGGCGTTCCTCAGTGCCACGGCAGCCGTAGAAGTGCCGCCAGTTGTGATACAGGACGGTTGAAACGACACATGTGGATGTGTGACGTGGGGAACTGTTGTTCCATCCTCATATCCACATGAAAAGAAAGACACGTGCATCAGGTGTCCCACAGTTTTGGAATCAACAGGGATGTTTGGAATGACTTGGGTTCACCATCGAGTCTTTCAACAGCAGAACCTTCATTGGAGCTAACAAGGGACTCTCGCGCTTGGGCCTGTCCATCCCGCGAGAACATCGTCCCCTTCGCTGAGTGTCAACGGCGTTGCACTGAGGCCCGGCAAGGTGCAAACGTACCTGCCGATTCGACGGCTTCGGCGTCGTAGGCGGCGTGCAGGGGCTAATTGGTGTCCCCACAAACCGCAGGATGTTGCTACCAGGGTTAAGTTAGTGGAAACCACTGGTCATAACAGTAAAAGGACAAAACATGAATGCGAATAAATATCGAAGGATCATGCAGCTAGGCATGGAGGCGAAGCCTCAACGAAGTCTACCACCCAACAGTGCGTCTCGCTCTTCAAAGCACCAACCATCATATATATATATATTATATTATTATATATATATATCATCATATCACATCATCCACAAGTTGACATCCATGCTGCTCATCCCAAATAACCCTCCCACTCCCCCAGACCGCGACCGCCGGCCGGCGCACTGCCACTGGCTGTCGAAGCCCCATTGTCCACAGACCGGAAAGGGCGGGTTGATCACCGCTGTGAGCAGATCCTAGGCGCTTCGCCACGAGACCTGCAGGGGCCTTTCCCCTGTCAGGTTACACTCGGTTTTTCAGTGGAGCAACGCAGTTCCGATTTGGAGTGGATCTAACCGTGCAGCTGTTTGTTTCTTTGCATGTGGAGTTGTTCTACCATTGGACTGCGAAGCTGCCGGCGTCATGAGTGTTTCGGAGCATTTTTGCTGTCTCGGAGGACTTTTTGACAGTGGGTGGGGGGGTGGGGGGGGCTAACTACGTCCTGTTCTGGTTGTTTCACGACAGTTGAGCGGTTACGTCGTGGTATGGTTGTTGCCCGAAACATGGACCACGGTGGCTTTGTTGCTTCGGACTTGCACCGTTGCCTTTGACGGGTTCCCTACGTCGGCTTCGGTTGTGTTTTGGTGGTCGACCCACAGCTCGTGAGGTGTTGTCGTTGTGTTTGGTGGTTCTGTTGCGGTTGGTTAGGGTACCTTGTCCGGATCCTCTGTTGAATCTGTGGTTTGAAGTGGACATTGATTATGTTAATATCTTTGATTTCTCTAGCAACTAGACACACGGGACCTCTTGACAGTTTTGTGTTGGACACGGTTCTGGACCCGGATCGTTGGACGTTGTCTTTCGAGGTTCTAGGATGTTCTAGGCACTTCTCACGATCTGTTGTACTCTTCGTGGACCATGGTGTTTTGCAGTATCCATGCCAAATGCTCCACTGGACTAAACCCGCTCTTGATTAAGTACACTTGGAGCTACCAGTTTCGAAAAAACCGTGGCAAGAGAAGGCAAGAGCCTGTGGAAAAAATTGGCAAACAGTGCCTGAGGTTCTGACTGCGTCTGCTTCGCGGAAGTCAAAAGACGCAATGGACCGTTTGTCAGTGATTTCTCTCCTCAACATACTAAATTCAACCAGTTACACGTCGCAATTCCAATGAATGTGTCTGATCTTTTTTTGAGGGGCCTCGTATTGTAAAAACCATACAAAAATAACGTCATGAATGACACACAAAACCCTGCGTTTTCCCATAATAGATTCTTCGTTTCCGGGCATGATGGAAGGTGCTAAAAACTCCAGGGTCGTTAACAACGCCGGCACCTTGTTTTAAGCTACACTCAAACAGAGTCCCATGTGGGCTCAGAAGGAAGTCCAACTACCTTCTGTTTCATGTAAGAACTCTTATGTACCTTTGCGTTGTAGCAATGCTCTGAATAGAACTACAGAAGAATAACAACCAATCTGAGTTGGGCATGGTGTAGCGCTGCGAAACTTATTCTCCAAGTTGGTTGCGGCCAAGAGACGTCAGAAAAAGGACCCCAGCCCAAACAGTTCCTGCTTCGCATCTTGTAGATCTGCTGGTCATGAAGGTTGGTGTTGGGCACGGTGACATAGCCTCACTTGAGTTGCAGTAGGCACATCCCTCAGGAAAACAGGCCCCATACAATGCGTGACGGGTCTGATGTAGATAGAATCTGATTTCTGGAAGTTCAATATATGGCTGTCTTCACCTTCGTATGTGCAAATCTCCGCACATGCAATACCCATCAAAATGAGTGTGTACAGATCCTGCGAGGCGTCTTGGAATCTCTTGGACCACCAATGGTCACACGTGATTATTCTATATCTAGCTCCAAGCAGTCTCATGGGAAGACCAAGTCCAAGATGAATGAAAAATGAAAAAAAAACAACATGGTAACATGAACCTTTCCGTCTCAAAAGACCAAAAGAAAAGAAAACAAGGGACCCGGTGGGGTGGTAATCTGCTTCTCCTGAGAGCGATGTGACTGTCACCAGTGTGGCAAGATATTTTACCGCCCTCCTCTTACCCAGCAATGATGATCTTCCTTGCCCTCGAATGGGAATGAATCCTTGAATCGGTGAGCTGGATTTCTTGGAATTCCTCTGCCTTTTGGCACAGGACAGCTCAACCCCCCCCAACCGACAAGGAGCAAAAAACAGACCCTTGACCATTTCGTTCGGAGCCGAGCCCCAAACCAAGCAGCAGCCGAAAAGGTTTCCAGGGTACAGCAAATGGGAGGCCGTGTTCCAGAGATCTGTGAAGCCATCCACAATGCCTTGAGGTCATCATGTCGGGTGTCGAAGACTCGCGTTGAGGTGGTCGCATGCGCGGGTAGGGTCAAACAAAAGAAAGATGCGTTTAAAGGTGTGAACAAAATAATCAAGAAAACTGAGCTGAACAAACGAAGGTGTTTGGCAACAGTGTTTGGGTCGACGATCAAAGACCGGCCTCGCGGCGCGAGACCGTGGGAATGCGGTTGGAGGGGGCAATGGAGTCCTTGAAACCCATCGTTGGATCTTAGAGGTGTTTTTTTTTTCCGCCCATGGCCATATGCCCATGAAGAGGCTTTCGTACCCTTAGACCTTAAAAGGTTCCTTCTCCCGGTCGAAGTAGACCAAGTCCTCTCCGGAAACCATGGGTTGGGTACGACATGGTCCATTCCAACCTTCCTACAGACCTATGTCCAAACTGACCATCCTTGCTGAATTCAAAGTTTCCCGCACACTGCCGAGTAGCCATTCTGGTCTGAGGGCACTGTTGCGATATGCCTCATACGCAGATGGATGTCGCCAGCTCACGTGATGCCGTGATGTCTCGTTGTCTCTGGCCAGTCAAGTGTACGTCTTTTTTGTTGAAAAACCCACGCTCTGAGCCCAAATTGATTCTGCAAAAGGAACACCATAGAAACTGTTCTCAATGAACTTCCCCGCCCACGTCCGGGATGGGGATTGTTCTTGATTGCTTCAACCTGCTCTGAGCAAGCTGCTGAGAGCTCTGGTCACCTGCATCAAACATGAGTGTTTGTCAGCTACAGCTGCAGTCTTTTGGGACACCTGATGTATCTTCTTTAAGAGGACTTTCTGACAGCGGATGATTTGCAAATGACTCATCCAACACAAATCACCTGCTGGTACGGGTTGGATCATGGCTCTGCACTGGGGCACTGGGGTTCCCTTTCACCACACGTTCGCTGGGACTCTCCCTGGGATTCCGTTTCGAGCCGTGCTGGGCCATCCCTGTGCTGCAAGGAGGCCATTCGGACGAGAAAACGCTGCCGCCGTGCTGATCGGCCGAACGGACCCTGCAGGGGACCGGAGGCAAATTGGATTGTTCGAGAATGGTCAACGATGAAGACTTGTATCTGAAAAACGGTTTCAGATTATTCCAAGGAAGCCTGTAGCCAGATCCAGGCAAAACCAACCATTCAATCCTCAGCATATTCAGGAATGGAATGGAAACTCCGATCAACCTCAAGCTACCTACACTGGAAAGAACTTGGATCTCTTGGAGTGGATTCCGAGTAGAGGTGATGGAACAAGAAAAATAAAGTGTGGCGTAATTTATCATTATGAAACCTGCCCCTCCAACCGTGCCATCCCAAGAGTCTTCTTCTGAACCGGTCTTCGCACGCCCAGCGGCTCTTCGTTGCGCCAAATCTCGAACTCCTCGACGGGGCAATCCCAGGAGGTGTTCTTGGGCGCTTCGAACTCCAGTCGGACGCAGCCCCTGATGTCCGACCTGCCAGGCACCGGGATCTCTTAGGAATCATAGCCACCCCATGCCCATCCCCATGATGCAACAATCAGCGTAAACCTGTCAAGAAAATCCTAGAAACCATCAACTGTCCACATGTGGCATTCTTACTCCAGGTTGACAAGAATGTTTGGGGCATGAATCATCTAGAGTGATGCAAGAACAAGGAGAATGAGGCCCCTGCAAGCAAGTGCGTTTCCGCTGTTCACGTGGCGTTAGGGTAATCAATCACCAGAAGTTGTCTACTGGTCAACACAGATGCCAACTCAGCGAAATGATTTTACCAAAATTTACCAAGCTCATTTACCATCGCCGATCGATACCTCCAAAGAACGCCCTGTTGCGGGTGTAGAACGAACTGTTTGGCCCTATTGCTTGGTCCTGACCCGGCACCTCCCCCCTCGGAGACGGCGCTTTCCGTCCTCGACGGACCCACGATCGTCCGTTCTGGTACGAGGTCCGCCTGGTCGAACGACGTCCCTCTCCCCACCTGTCTGGGAAGAACTCGGCGCAGGGACTGGGCCGGCTCACACCATACTTGGCCGTGGCATTGCACGCCGTCCAGGCGATGCTCATCGTCGGTGGTGTCGCCAGAAGCTGTAAGTCGTTCCAGCGCCTTGGAGGTTTCGGGCAAAGACCTGGCCTTTTTGGTGCCCTGGAATGAGAACATGGTCGGGGTTGAGAGATGTTTGGGTTCACTTTTGGCCATCTCTTCTTCAGAAAAAGTCCCCCGCTTTGTTGAAGTTGTTCATTGCATTCCAGTGGTTTATGGAACGGCCACGGCGGACTGCCGGTGCCTGGAACAAAACAGCGGGTTCCAGGGGATGTGAGGATTTCGGTCTGCCGGAGTTGTTTGGGTCTGTATGTGTCCTTTCCAACCGACCAGGTTTTGGACCTGCCTTTTGGACCTGTCCAGAAGCCAGCCAGCTATTTCATTGTTCATCCAGTCGTTCTGCCCGCTCATCTGTCATGGAAAAGCCAGGATGCAGGATCATTTCAGATACGTTCTCTTCTTCAGGATCCTCGACCAGGTAGATATCATGAGGGTCCTGCGCAGTGGGGGCAGGCGGGATGTCTTTGTGACCGGGTCTGGGTCAATGAACGACACCCCCCTGTGGGGAACACCCAACGTGGCCACGCTAATCTACTGACTCTCAATAACCTGAGGAAGAACTTCAATCAGAAAAGATTGCAATCAGACTTCAATCTACTTTGGGCTATGGGACAAAAGGCCGACCCTGGCTGACCTCAACAATGAACCAAACACTCTGCCGAGCTGATTGGTCAACGGTCCCAGGTTCTGACCCTCCACACACTTCGGTTCATCTTCGCCGGTCCAAACCCAAGAGCTTGTAGAAGGCGTCGCTGGCAGTGACCACCCGCAACGCAGTGGTGGTTGTGGTGGTCTGGCGGAGGCACCACTGAATCTACCAAGGGGTGGAGGTTGGAGAATAAATGTCCAAGATCTGCCACACAAACATGGAATGACTCTGGGGTGTGCTGGAATTCCATGAGGCTGCCCAAACAAAGGGCATCGAAGCGTAAGACCCTCATCAAACATGAACATGTATGCGCTGGTGACGATTCAGTGGATCAGGTATTCATGATTTCTCCTTGTGACTTCTTGTGTGTATCCGGAGAGTGTCCATTGAGCAACGTACAGACGGGACCATCTCTGGCATCACGGGGTGATGCACTGGACGGGAGAACAGGGAACTCCCATCCTTCGCGCCCAGTGCAGGAAATGTTCCACCATATCACCATGTGGTCAGTGTTTGTACACGCATGAGTATATGACCATGTCAATGATTGCCCCCAAAAAAACGACTTGATGTGTCACAGATGTGTCACACACTTGGGAATTAACCTATCCACTAAAGCTCCCAAAAGCTGGATTGTAGTTGAAGCGATTGAACCAGACCCTCACGATCCTTGACCCTCTCTCCATCTCACGCCTCGACCTCCATCCACACGAAGCCAGTGACCACGGTGGTGGTCACTGTCACACTGGTCTCAGCACGTTGCACGCACGGCGGCCGCTGAAGACGAAGAACCAGCGGAGCGAGGAGTAAGTAAGAACGGAAACACAAAGGAAGAGAGGAAGCTCCCAGATTATTTTTGAAGAACATGATGACAAGGATGTTTACCTCATTTCACCTCACTTGACTCGACATGAAGTTGCTTCAGAAGTTCCTTTGATCTCAAACATGGAATTTGCCCGGCGATCAATGGCTTTTGGACGAAGTTTTCGGAATTGATCCGCCACCGAAAACGGGCTAAGTCTGGACCACAGGGATCCGAGCTTGGCTTCCACACAGATCGGACCCAAAAGAGCGGACCCAGCGTCACCAACCCAAAGACCAACTGCAAAATGGTTTTGAAATACTTATTATGCATTGATGGGGCCTTCGGTCATGGAGGTCATAATTATATAAGCTGCTATTGTTATTTGTAATCGATATGTTTTAACAAGTCGCACCATCGATTTCTCGCAGCCATATCGTATACCATGCCAATTAATATAGTATGTAGTATAAATATATTCTCAGCTGCATCCAAACGATGTCTTCCGTCTTCGATCGACTCCTTTGGACCCACCGCGCCGTTCTGAAAATCCGGCCAGTTTGGGAAGAGACAGTTGAAGCCCTGTGGCTGCGACGGTGGTGTCGGTGGAGACATTGGAGCTTTGGTTCAAAAGCAGCCACCAAGGCGTGGGCTGCGCCTGAGGCGCAGCGCGGGCGCAGCGCCGAAAGAAAGATCGAGTCGCAGGGTGATGATCTTTTCGCGGAT